ATAATAATATTATATTTAAATTTTATTTATAATAATATAAATATAATTTATATTTATATAAATATTTTCTTAATATTTTAATTCTAAAAATATAATAATATAAAATTTTAAATAAATCTTAATTTTATATATAAAATCAATTTTAATATTTAAAAAAAAATTAATTAAAAATTATATAATAAATATATTAATTTTAATAAATATTTTAAAAATTTTAAATATATTAATAAAATTTTTAACAAATAAAATTTTAAAATTTAATAAAATAAATTATTTTATTATATTATTTATTAAATATAATTTTAATAAAATAAAATTTATAATTATAATAATATTAATTTTTTTTAAATTATTTTATTATTAATTAAAAAATAAATTAAAAATTATAAATATTATATTTTATTAAATTTTTATTAATAAATTAATTAAAGGTTTATTTAAATAAAAATCTTTTAATAAAAATTTAAAATATTTTTATTAAATATAATAAAAAAATTTATTTTAACTACCAATTTATTTATTATAAATTTTATATTATATTATTTTAAATTTTTAAATATTTATACTAAAATTAATTATATTTTTACTATTATTATTTATTAAAAAAAAACTAAAATTATTTAAAATATTTTTATAAAATATTATTTTAAAATTTTCATTATTATTAATATATTTATAATTTTTTAAATTATTATTTTTAAAATTATATAAATTTTTTTTAAAATTATTTATATAAATTTTTAATTAAAAAAATTAAAAATATTTTTTATTTTTTTAATTTATATTTAACTTTTAATTTTTATTTTTAAAAAAATTAAACGGATTAAAAATTTATTAATAGTTTTTTTTTAATAAAATTATTTATTAAATTTTTAATTAAAATTAAATTAATTATTAATTTAATTTTTTTATTAATATTAATTATAAAAATAATTTATATTTTACTTATTATAATTATTTTTATTATATTTATTAAATAAATAAATAAATTTAATTTTTTATAAAAAAATAATTTTTTATTTATTAATTTATTAAAAAAATTATTTAAAAATTATATTTATTATAAATTTAATTAATTATTTTTAAATTTTATAATTAAAAATTTTAAAAATATATTTTAATTAATTTTTTAAAAAATAATTATATATTTTAATATTATAAATAATATTATTAATAAATAAATAAAAAAATTTTTTATTCTTTATATTTAATAAAATAAATAATTAATTTTTAAAATTTTAATATATAACGTTTAAGTATTTATAAAATTTTATTATAAATTTTTTATAAATATAATTTATAATTTTTATAAATAAAGCGTTTTATTTTATATTTATAAATTTTATTATTAATTATTATTATATTATATATTATAAATAAAAAAATTAAATTATTTTAATTTTAATTTTATTTTAAAATTTAATAAATTTTTTTAAATAGTAAATAAAAATAAAAATATTTATATAAATAGTATATTTTTTAAATAAAATAATATTAATAAAATAAAAATTTATTTATAAAAAGTTAAAAAATTTTATTATTTTTAATAAGATTTTATTAATATGGTAATTATTAATATTATTATTATTATTAATAATATTAGGAATATTATTTAATAAAATTTATTTAAAAATTTAAATAATTATTTTTATTATAAAATCGATAATAATAAGGTTATTATAATTAAAATTATTTATTTTAACGTTTAATTATTAAGATTAATTTTATATTTAGGTATAATTAATTTTAATAAATAATAAATTTGTTTTGGTAAAGGTTAGATATATAGATAAGGAATATATAAATAGTTTTAAAATAGGATTATTGGATATCGAATAAATTATAAGGTTTTTGGTTTTTATTAAAGATTTGGGAGTGTTTTGTATAATATTAGTAGAAGACGAAGGATTAAAGTGATTGTTTGAAAAAAAAAATAAAAACCTTATTATTATTTGGATTGGTAAATTAATAATTTTTAATAATAAAAATTTAAATTTTTATTTTAATTTTAATAATTATTTAGTAAAAGGAATTATAATAAAAGAAAAGATTAAAAATTTAATTTTAAAATCTTTGAAAGATTTTAAATAAAAAAGTTGGATTTAATGTTAAAACATTTTTGGATTATTGTTACTTTTACGGTGTTATAATCGTTTTATATTGGATAATAAGGTCGTTATAAAGGCAAAGACAACGTTGTTATCAAAGTAAAGATCTTTTAAAATAAATTAACTTATTAGTTGGTTATTAATAAAATGGTTAAAATAAATCGGATTAATTAATTATTAATTGGTTTATTAGGTAATTTCTATACAATTAATTTATTTAAAGTAAATAATAATAATAATTTTGATTTAATCGAAAATAATTCTGGTAGTAATTTTTAAAATATTTAAAAATAAGCTTTTTTGTAATAAATATTAATGTTAAATATTTTTTTTTAAAAAAAAATAAAATAAAAAGTGAAGTTACCAATTATAAGCATTAATTATATTATGATTGGATAATATTATATTTTGTAAGTATCTAAGTATTTAAGGGGCATTTGTAAAATGTTTATTTATAAGATATAAGTATGTATCTGTAAGGTACGTATCTTTATAATAGTGGGTCCTTATCTGTGATACCTTTCATCTTCTAACCCCGCTAACGTTATATTAAGCTCAATTAAATTAATTAGTGCTCAAGTGGGGTTATTAGAACATCTTGGACATCTTATCAACCTTATCTTTTTATCATATTCATATCTTACATCGGCTTTAATTTTCTCAAGAGCTTCAACAAATCCCGGCCTCAGATGTCCGCAGCAGAAACCATCACGTTTTTCGCCTCGGTCCCTTAACTTTTCTATTGAGTTAGTGCGATGGCTTATGATATTTATATAATTGCCTCATCGCGCACCGTAACCGTCGCTACTATATTTTCTTCTTAGAATACCTTATTAGCCATGCTGGCTCTCTCGGTACGCGGGCTTATAGGCTCGCGTGCGCTTAACCGACAGACTATCCGAACCATGGCTACCGCGCGGCGTCCAGCTTTCGAAACTATCCCATCTTCTCCAATTCGAGTTATGCGTACGGTTGATGCGGTCAGAAGATGGAGGAAGCCCCAGTACCTCGACCACAGAATTGTTTCACTCGTACCTACGATGGGAGCTTTGCATCAAGGTCATATTTCTCTTATCCGCAGCGCAGCCCGCGAAAGCCATCACGTCGTCGTTAGCATATATGTTAACCCGGCCCAATTCGGCATCAAAGAGGATCTAGCTTCTTACCCTGTGACTTGGGAGTCGGATTGCAAGATCCTAGCTGATTTGGATCGTGAATTGGCCGACGATGGCGGGAATCTAGGCCGCATCAGCGCCATTTTTGCGCCAACTACCCCTGAGATATATCCTTCAGGTTTTCCAGGTCAAGAAGTAAACTCTAAAGGGAGTTTTGTGGTCCTAACACCAATAAGTGAGATTCTTGAGGGTGTTACTAGACCAACCTTTTTCAGGGGCGTTGCCACTGTCTGCATGAAACTTTTTAACATCGTACAACCTGAAAAGGTATACTTTGGCCAAAAGGATGTCCAGCAGACCGTATTGATCCGAAAGATGGTCAAGGACTTTATGCTGCCGACCGAGGTTATTGTTGGTCCTACCATTCGGGAGTCCGACGGACTTGCTCTAAGCTCCAGAAATGTTTACCTCGGCGAGAGGCGACGCAAAGTTGCCCCAGTGCTATATGTCGCTCTCAAGGCTGCTGAGGCACAGTATCGGAAAGGGGTTCTGGATAGAAAGAAGCTTGTGGGTGCCGCTAATGATTTGTTTTTAAATGTTTTAAGCAGACAGAAATTTCTACCTCGCGAAAAGAGGTCAACATTTGAAGTGGACTACATCTCACTTGCGGATCCCTTTTCTATGGAGGAGCTGACTAAAATCGACCCAGAGAAGGGTGGTATATTGAGTTGTGCAGTAAAAATGCTACAGGTCGAGTCACCGCAACCAGGCGAAGATTTAGGACATAGCGGAGGCCCAGCAGTCCGTCTCATAGACAACATTATCTTGAAGCCGCTTGCGAAAACTTAGAGTAAATTTCTGAATATATACAGGCAGTATATGTCTATTAATAACTAATCGATAGGCGTTTAAACGGCGCGTAAACCGGAATTCTTTGCTTCGTTCATATCAACTGCATTTTATTATTCTTTAAGACTCGTTTCAATTCGTTATTACTGATACATTTGTTCGTATGTCTTCTTATGAGCCCCTAATATTATTGGTCTATTCCTACATAATCATATGAGACATTATAATAACATTAACTACATTGATATTATCGGACTTTTAAATTATTTAACTAGCATCTTTTCTGCAGTGTCATTGCAGCAACCGTATGTATGGCTTCTCCACGTGCAGAGTCAGGTACATAATGTTAGGGTAAGGGAGGCAAGTTAGATGAAAAGTTCCAATTTCCCGTTCCCCGTCCCCGCAGTAAAAGAAAAAAAAAGGTTAGGCCATTCCTGTCCCATCTTTTAAAAGTTCACACTTGCACAACCGCTCCCACCCCCCTATTATTAACGTTAGAGATCTTCTAACCTAAACTCCAACTCCAACTCCAACTCGCGGTAGGTTCATACAAAAACACGAGCTGAATTGCTCAACTTATTAATAATAAAAAAGCGGGCTCTAATTGATCAGCTCCCCTGTCGATCGTTTACTTCACTTTTATCTAATTGATTTATACACGGAGAACACGCGGGGTAAAACTTTCCAGATGCCGAACACTACGGCTATTTCCGCTCCGGGCAAGGTGCTTCTGGCCGGAGGCTTCTTAGTCCTCGACCGTCAGCACACGGGGCTTGTATTTGGGTTGAGTGCTCGCATCAATGTTATCGCTCAGGAGATCAAGACAATCAAGGGCGTTCAGCTGAGCGAGATCGTCGTTGAGAGCCCTCAATTCCTCGAAGCTCAGTGGCGTTACGGGTATCACCTAGCTCCCGAGGATGGCGGAATCAAGTTAACTCAGCTTCGGGTGTAAGTACTGTCTTTTTTTTCTTTTCGTGTTCTTTCTTACAAGATTTATATATGTTTGGTAGGGGTATCAATGCAATTGTGTCTACCTTTACGAGGTTGTAGCTAGGGATATCGCACTCATATAATTATATACCCTTCCCCATCGTTGTATCACCATCCCAGTCTTATATTTACCTCACCACGCTACAAATATTCTCATATAGCTATACTATATACTTATAAGCTAACCAAACAGCGGTTCGAATATAAACCCCAATCACTTTGTTGAGGTCACATTGGCCTACGCTCTCACTTACATCCAAACTGTTGGCCACGCCGGGTCATCATACACCTTTAAGCCTGTACAGCTAATCATTTTGGCCGACAACGACTATTATTCGCAATCTCATTCGCACCATCATCACCACCACTCACACTCAGGTGCGACAGCCCGCTTCGCCAAGTTTCCCACCAAGCTCAAGGATGCCCACAAGACTGGACTTGGATCCTCCGCGGCCCTTGTCACGGCACTTACCGCCGCCTTACTGACGCATTACCTCCCCAAATCTTCCTTCGACGTAGACTCAGCAGAAGGCAAGCGCACGCTACACAACCTAGCGCAGGCCGCACATTCCGCCGCCCAAGGCAAAGTCGGCTCGGGCTTCGACGTCGCGGCCGCCGTCTACGGCAGCTGCGTATACCGGCGATTCTCCCCATCCCTCCTGGGCGACGTCCCCGAGATCGGCGCCCCTGGCTTCGCCCCCGCGCTAGCAGCGTGCGTGGCGCGCGAGTGGGACGCCGAGTTCCGCAAGGACAACGCGCGCATGCCGCCGGGCGTCACGCTGCGCATGTGCGACGTTGACTGCGGCAGCCAGACCGTCGGCATGGTCAAGCAAGTCCTCAAGTGGCGCGACCAGACCGATCCGGCCGGCGCCAAGACCCTCTGGGACAACCTGCAGGCGCGCAACGAGGCGCTCGGCGCGACGCTCAGCGGCGATCGCAAGGACGGCATCACAAAGGCCGTGGAGGAGGTGCGCGTCTTGGTGCGCGAGATGAGCGCCGCAAGCGGTGTCCCCATCGAGCCGGAGAGCCAGACCGCGCTGTTAGACGCGCTGGCGCGTGTGGAGGGTGTGTACGAGGGAGTGGCGCCGGGGGCGGGGGGATACGATGCTCTAGCTTTGTTGGTTAGGGACGACAGGGAGACGGAGGATCGAATCAGGGAGTTTTTGAAGGGATGGAGTCAGGAGAAGGGCGTTAAGGTTAAGCTGTTAGGCGTCAAGGGGGAGATGGAGGGAGTGAGGAGGGAGGGGCTGGAGCAGTATGATGGGTGGTTGGGGCATGTCTGAGGGAGAGGGGGAAGGTTAAATAAAGAAAAGGGTGAAGGCAAGAATTTAGAGATTATATATTATATATTATTTAGATGCGCTGGGAGAGATTTGGAACGATTGACTGCCTAGGTGCTTATAGATGCTCGATTATGAATTAGGTAGTCCGGAGAATAGATAAGATTCCGAATAAGATCTAGTTTACTTGGATTAGGTGTTAAGTTGTCACGTCTGGTAATAGAGATCGGATTAATACTATACGCTGATGATTTAGTATTTAAAATAGATGTATAGACTAGGTCGAGTAGAGGTTACTCTGATGCAATTTTAATGTCCTTGAAATTCTACTTTTTTTGTGTTTTTCTCATATATATTTTTTCTTTCCCTTCCCGGCTTGTCTATATATCGGCTCGGTTTACCGAGATATACGAGGTCTATAAATAGGAAGTGTTTAACCAGAGGCTTAACTAAGCAGCAAGTAGTTATAAGATTCGCGAACTTATCATTAACGGCCTGGATCTGAAAAAGAAGAAAATAATTTGGCCATCGAGCCTCATCGGTAATATTGAGTAACGATACTTGTATATCATGTAGTTACCCAAATCTACTACCCACCATCTTATTTGTTTTTCCCTCGCACGACTCTAGGAAGTACGAGATGGCAATATATCCGGTGCCACCGCATCTCGAGTACGATCGCTCCAACGGCAAGAAGCCGTTACGTCTGGACTACTTGGTTAATCGAGTTATTTACTCCCGTGCGTCGTCTCACGAAATCTAGCGTGGGCGAGGCAGCTTATTCTGTCAGAATAACATTGGTATGTATAAAGTACGAGACACCGCATACACTAGGTACCTAAACTCGCCGAGAAACCAGTTCTGCAGTTTCATGTATTCATGTTACGTATGCCAATGTAACCATTTTCTCTCGAACGCCGACTCCATTAAGCCACCGATTCCGGGAATCAATAAATCACCCAGTGAAATAATGTCCGTCGCCCTCCCAAACCTGACGCCCGAATGGATGGGTGGGTAAAATGCTTATAAGAGAAATAAAAAACAAAGTCTAATGCAACACACTTGGTATCCTACACGCCAAGCACTCTGTGCTATATTGCCGTGTTCCGTGTTCGTGAATTCGTTCGTCGGGTGACCGCCTATTATGTGAAGTATCGAAGAAGCTAAGAAATCCGCACGCGGTGTAGAGCAGTACAATGCTCTCCGCCACGGGAGGGATGGTAAAAGCTACAGCCAAATCTGATATCTGTTCCCTCCATTTCCAAAAATGATTTAGAAAAGAAATCCCTCAGCTAGCTTTAAATGAGGTTTTCGATAGGTGAGATAGGGGTGCTTGGCGTCACCTAGCATTCGTTAGTCACAATAATCCTATATAAGCATATCAGAACTGAGTGGTTCAAACTGACCTTCAGCACAGGCGTAACGGGACGTAATGACGAAGGCGGAGCCGGGGCCCTGCGCGGAGTGCCGAAGGACGACGAGTCGGCGGCTCCAAAGCGGGATGCGGCTGCTTGCTCCTTCAGTATGGCGATCCTACGTTCCCAAAAATACATTAGCCAAGATCGTAGATACCCGAAAGGATTGCGGCGAAGTAAGAGGTACCAATAGCTAATTGGCCATAATACGAGCGACGGTGTGTGAAATAGGAGAGGAAAAAGAAGCGCTTACTCATCTTCCGACACACCCGGCAATGAGAGCGTCTCGTGCTTGAAGTTGAACGGTGCTGACTGTAAGAAGAAATCATGTTAGCAATAGTAAAAGGTTGAATATTATTATTAGATGAGGCATATCGGATATCCAAAGTAGGCAATCCGCGATGTATATATAGATGATGAATAGATGAAGATGACAAAGAATAGACTTACGATCTGCAGCGCCGGCTTCTCGGAAACTGGTTTAGAGGACTTGACACCGATGAGTTTTTGTAATCTTGCCGTAAAGGCGCGGAAGCCACCAATGCAGCTCGTCATTTTGGATTCCAGAATTTTTATTTTCGGATAGCAAAATAAACAGGGTAGAGCAAGATGAGATGGAGAAAAAATGTATGTGCAACAAGACGACGAGCGAAAGAAGTTGGCAGTTGGCCTTGCACAAAGGAGTCGGATGTAAGAAATTGTTGGCAACAAGCGACAAGCGACAAGCTGAATACCAAGTGGATGCAACAGACAATTTAACGAGGATACGAGATCTGTGCCTAGAAACGACGTTAGGCCCCAATGTCGTAGTAACGAATCCGAGTATAATCGAAATATTCGGGTGCCAAAAAAGAGGAATTCGATGCTATGCTATGCGATGCGATGCGATGCGGCAGCAGAGGTAGAGTGGAATTATGATTGATCCAGCGTTGCCCCCCCTCAATGCGATATATGCGCGGGTACTAGAGCCGAAGCTGCAGATACGAAACAAAACGAAACGTATGTACGATGTATGTACGCAGAAGTGTGGGAGAAGTCATATAAGAGTAGATGTATCAATATGTAGGTACACTAGGTCAGGTACTTAACTCTCTCTCGAGGCAGCCGATGATTGATCAACAATCATGCAAGGAAGACAAGACAAGAGCTAGAAAACCAAGCAGTGGTAGTAGCTTCAAAAGGACGACAAAAAAAAGAGCGGAACCCCTTTGCTAAAAAGGAATAAGAGCGTTTGGCTACGGGTCAGCAGCGTTATCTTTTGAATGCCTGCCTTATACGGATGTTATGTAAGGGTAGGATGAGATAGATGAATGGGGCGGGCGAAGGATGATAGTGATGATGATGACGATGACGGGGAAATAATAACACAATAATCATCTAAGGCCGGGGACGGGAACAAAGCTTCTTTTTCGTTTATGAGCGAAGCTGAAGATCAAAAAGATTTGGTGGGCTCGGTGGCTGTAAGTCTGACAGATCGACGGGAGCGGGGGAAGCGAGAGCTGAAAAGAAAAAGGCTATAAGCTAAACCCTACGAGCGCAGGGTCCTCACGAAAAGGATTATAAAGAGTTAAAAGAGTGTGTTATACCAGCTACGGTTTAGCTGAACAGGCTGAGCAGTAGGCCAAGGGTTGGATAAGTTGGATGGTTGGTTGGTTGGCTGGTGATGGCGAACTGGAGAGACCGAAGTCTGGTCTTATCAAACAGGGCGCAATAGTAGCAGTAATAATAATAATGATGATGATGATAATAAGATCAATTTAAACGAAAGAAAAATACGAAGTAGATATCACAAAGAAACGAACGTGTGTACCGCGTATGTATTTGCAAAAGGACTCAGGGAGAGACGACGGTGAAAACGAAAGACATGCGAATTTCAATACACGAAGAACCAGTCAGTCAGTGTAATGTTAAGTACAAGTATGTATGTCCAAGGAGATAGATACCTAAGGTAAGTAGAAGAAAATAATATGTGGAAGCAATAGCATAAGGTAATAGTTGGGTATCGTCGGTCAAATTAAAAGTTGGCACGCCTCGGAATGTGGAAATGTGGAAATGTACCTAGAAATGTGGAATGTGGCAATTCCACTCTACCGACAAGGGGTCAAAACAAGGGGACCTCAATTAAACGCCAAGCTAAGAATATTAGTAGAAGATCCTGAAACAAATGTCGGATTAGTCATTGGAGTCAGGTGATTTAGTAAGTCTGTACCTGTATTACGCGTTCGAGGCTTTTAATTCTACCAGAGTTGCATTAGTTACATTAGTTACATCAACTAGCAACCAATGATATATTGTCTCGAGTATAAGCTTATACATGTATAACCTCTTCGACAAAAAACATTTACCAACTATTTTATATATATCATAAGATGAGAACGAACTAAACATTTCTCGCCTTACCCTCGAAAAATATTTTAGCTGAATAAAATATATTGTTATGTGGTAACAATAACCAAGTCCCTCGCAGCCTGCAGGTTCCCGTAATGTGGGGTCGTGACTCTCGCCAGCATTCACTTATACATGTATAGGTAGCTTTCAACCTGCCAGTTTATAAATATTCAAATCTTTCGACGAGCAATATCTAGTAGGTCGCGAAATAGCATAAAGTCCCACGCTTACTTACACTCTCCCCCCATCTTCACATTTACCTATAAGCTATTATGAACTTCCAAACCTGTCAACAAGAACCGCCTTCTATAGATGATAATATCTAAAAGAAGATAAAAATGTGTACCCACCTAGGTAGTCTGTGTAGGTATGTAATGTTTTCAGAGAGCGAAAAAGTAACGTTAATACTTCTAGATAACAACCTATGGACACATATAATCCATACCTAATATAAATATATACTTTTTTCGGGCTCGCATAATATTATCCCTGGTCTGAGGATACTACATGAAACAAGCATACAGACCGCCAAAACGGTATAGCTTCCCAATCTTCCGATAGGCTCACACAACCCCCGTCCAAGTTGCCCAAGGAAAATAAATGGCGTAATCGTTCCAGAACGATTCCCTAAACCCTGTTTTGATTAATTCGAATTTCCATTCTATTTCGGGTAGTCCTTCAAATGATAGCTCTTCAGCTTCACGAATTGATCGAATCCGAATCTGCTTAGAGTTACGCCCTTGCCCGAGTTCTTCCAACCTGTCCAGGCCAGATCCTATAATTATCATGTTAGCATGCCACAACTTATCGGATTCGCGTTGAAACCTACGGGGCTGGGGTAGTCTGCACGGTTGACAAAGACGGTTCCCGCTTCGACTTGCTCCGCCAACTCATAGCCCTTAGCCGTATCCTTGGTCCATATGCTAGCTGTGAGGCCGAATTCGCTGTCATTCATTAATGACACAGCCTCTTCATCGGACTTGACTTTCATGATGGAAATAACGGGCCCAAACGTTTCTTCCGTCATGACCGTCATGCTATGGTTGACATCGATGAGGAGCGTAGGCTTGACAAAGTTTCCTTTTGGTGGGAGGTTCGAGAATGTCGAATTCTCTGGTGTTGCGTCTTTTGCACCTTTACTCAAAGCGTCCTGAATATGCGACTCGATAGTCTCCTTAGACCGCTTCGAAATGACCGGTCCGATCTGGGTCTCCTTTTCAAGAGGATCGCCAACCTTGTAGTCCTTCAAGACCTTTTGAGCTGCTTCGATGAAAGAGTCGTAAATCTTCTCGTCGACGTAAACACGTTCAATGGCACAACAACTTTGACCCGAGTTAAAAATGGATCCGTCGACAATCTCAGCAGCTGCCCAGTCCAAGTCTACGTCTCCCCTGACGTATGCGGGATCTTTACCGCCGAGCTCTAGGCCAACATTGACAATTCGATCAGAAGCGGCCTTTTGGACTGACAAACCTCCCGCCACCGAACCGGTGAAACAGATTAGAGATACCTTCGGATCCCGTACCACGGACTCCATGATCAGCGGCGACCCGCAGTGGAAATACTGCAAGACACCAGCGGGTAGTCCCGCCTCTGCAAAGACCTTGGCGATCTGTTCAACAATCGTAGGGGTCTGCGGGGAAGGTTTGAGAATAACGGTATTGCCAGCAAGTAAAGCTGGAATAAGTGAGTTGACAAGAATTAGGTAAGGGTACTAATATGGAGATCAGCTGAATTCTAGATCCGAAGGAAACATATTTAATTGTCTCACGTTCCAGGCGAAGATTATGAGGACAGGGCCAACGGGAATTTTCCGAATGAATCGCTTGAATCCTTTCTCCGCCTCGCCATCGGTATCCTTCAGTGTTTCTTCACTAATCTTGACGAGGTAGTCTGCACGTTTAATGGCCGTTGTGACTGATGTAAAGTTAGTCCAAAAGGTCTTTTACTAACTATTAGTTAAAGGGGGCAAGGTGATAAGCTTTACTTTCAACACCAGTATAAGCAATAGGTCGTCCCATCTGGACGGTGAGCTCCTCAGCAAGATCATCTTTTTTCTTCTCCAGTAGTTTTAACGCTTTCTTAATTATGATTTGACGGTCCGTCAATGAGGTCTGCCGCCAACTCTGGAATTTCTCAGCAGCGATCTTAGGAATCTCTTCCAATTCGGCAGCCGTGACGCCATTGCGAGTCAATATCGGCTCGTTTGTAGTAGGCGAGATGGTTGTGAGCGTTTCGACAGACATTATGTCGTTATGATACACTATAGTAGAGAATAGACTTAATAGAGAGAGATATAATGAAAATTGACTTATATATAAAACTCAGATTTCAATCTAGTTCGGTTATCTTGAAATTAAACAATCCTTTAGAGATAAACGTCACTGATTAAATCAATGGTAGTGGGGGATCGGCGACCCCTCATAGAATCCCGATAAGTAAATTTTATTCGTATATTGAATCCACTCTCTAACTTTATCTTATCAGCCAGCGTTATCGAGAACTCTCCATTTTATTTTTATTTTCTTTGGAATCAATAACCAAACATCAGCTACCTGTCGACTATCCAATTGCCCTTCTAAAACCAGGCTATAGGACTGTATATACTAGCCAATAAATAATTTAACCAAGCAAAATGCCTCCGGAGAAAAGGAATAAATTTTTAGACGCAGACGAGAGTGACGACGACGATAGCCAGGGCTATAACTCCGAGGCGGAAGAACTACAGAAAGGTGGTCGAATCGCAAAGCGTCGCAAACTAAGCGACGATGCAGCCAGTGACGATGATAATGACGAAGTCAGCGCGGGAGAGGAATCCGAGCATGAAGATACCATAAACAATGATAATCCGCAACGAGAAACTTCAGATCTAAAAACAGACGAAGACAAGTTAAAATCCAAGCTAGACGCCCTGCCAGAATTACCAGATGTTTCGCGTCCCTTGACCAAAAAGAACCTGGTAGCTACGGAAAAAGCCGTAAAGAAATCCGGCCTCATCTATCTCTCGCGCGTGCCGCCCTTCATGAAGCCCGCCAAGCTACGATCGCTACTAGAGCCGTACGGCAAGATCAACAGGATATTCCTCACCCCCGAGGACCCGCAAGAGCGCTCTCGACGAGTCCGACAGGGCGGAAATAAAAAACACATGTACACGGACGGCTGGGTAGAATTCGTGCGCAAGGAAGACGCCAAGAAAGCCGTCGACCTCCTGAACGCTCGGACGATAGGCGGGAAGAAGAACACACTACTACCGCGACGACATCTGGAGCCTGCTTTATCTCAAGGGTTTCAAGTGGCACAACCTCACCGAGCAGATCAACTCGGAAATGGCAGAGCGGACAAGCAGGATGAGGGCGGAAATCAGCAAGTCGACTAAGGAGAACAAGGAGTTCGTGCGGAACATCGAGAGAGCCAAGATGCTGGAAGGCATGCAGACTAAAGCGGCAGCGAAGCGCAGTAGGGAAGAGAAAGACAATTCTACAACAGCAAGTAAATCGGAGGATAAGAGTATACGGACGTTCAAGCAAGCTTCTGTGGCGAAGAAGGGGGTAGACCTGGCTCCTGATGAGGCTAAACGAGTGCTGAGCAAACTTTTTTGATTCTGAAAATAATGATACCCGGGCATTTTGCATATCCTCGAGTTTGAAGTGATAGGATGTATGTGTTGATATAATTTCAATTTTACTAAATCTCGATGGTGAGAGTCTCCTCGAGAAACCAGCACTACCTAGGTATAGACATAAAAACCATATGACATCGCTGATAAGCCAAATACATGTAAATAGAATAGGAGGACGTGTCGGCGTAAAGGGGGCTGTTGTACGAGTAGCTACGACTACAAAACTGAAGGGCTTCTGACAAATTCTGAATACATCAAGCGTAGACCTAACTGATTTCAATTTACCAACATGTTAAAAGAGCAAGAGTAAATACGTCAATACAGCTCATCTCATCTCGTTTAAGAGAATTATAATAGACGCGTAAGGCTACCTCCTAACTTGTACCACATACCCATCAACCTACGATATCATCCTTATAATTCAGATCAACCATGCGTATAGGCGTAGTTGGTAAAGTTTTTATATAAATTATAGCCTACGTGTAGGTATACCTACTAGATATAGTGAACTATCTGCCCTTTGCCTTGGGCTGCCCTTAATAGGTCAACAATATCTTCTTTACAGCCGGACTCCAGACGCCTGCTGCTATTCCATTTCGTTCATCCTATTTCGGGAGTATTCTTCGACATGAAGTATTTACCTACATCCCGTCATACAACGTCATCAAGTCTATTTCATCTCCGGCATTAAGCTTCGTGTGCAAATAGTACATATGTTTTACCTCTTCGTGTATCCCATCTCTTAGTATTCTTCTATAGCGCAGTTAGGATGTAGGACATATACGACCTTCTGCGAGGGCGCAGGCCCGCCATCTGCAGGGGCGGTCTGATCGCTCTCTTCAGTTAGGCCCTCGCCGCGTACCGCCATCAGAATGTTGTCCTATTTATTTTTGTTAGCATCGAGCCAAGTAACGTAACCACCAAAAAAAGTCTAGTGGCCGTGAATATTGTGAAATAATAGAAAAACTTACCTTGACCATCTTCTTTAGCACCATCTTCGCAACATCCTTCTCTCGGTGATAATCTTCCTCGCCCTCTAGCTCATCCTCCTTCTGCTCAAGGTACCACTCCACAAGCGCCTCGCCATCCACGCCCTCGCCAGATCCTGATGCTTCATCTTCGTTTACTCGTGACACGATGATGTTTACCATGTTGATATACTTCTCGTACGTAATAGCCGTCTTCTTCTTTGCCGGTGCTGCGGAGCTGGGTTCCCTGCTACCTTGTGCATCCGCATCCGCATTCTCGCCGTCGTCCATGGGAGAATCACCCTCCTCATCCTGGGCCTGCGCGACCGAAGAAGCACGTGTAGCTTGGTCCGCGGCAGCAACAAGCGCTGCCGAGTCCTCAGGGGTCTCATACTCATCTTCGTCCATCTCAACGTCGTCGTGTTCGACAGATATAATACTCTGGCGAAGGAGATTAGACGCCTCGTCTACAAACTCGGGCGTGATCTCCTCGATACAATTCGCCTTGGCGATAGCCTCCGACAGCCGGATCAGGGATTCGAGCTGACGGACAGTGATACGGTAGCTGTTTTTGCCCACGCCGCCCTGGGAATCGTCGGCACGTAGTTCCTTGTACTTCTCGACGAGACGTTCCTTAGCCTCAGGCGTGAACTCAGGCCGGAATGTCCGTGCGAACCGGATGTATCGCTGTAAGCACTCGGTGCTGAATTCTGGTTCGATAGCGCTATCGCGTAGTGCATGTATGCCTACGATATGCTCTGCTAGGTGACGATCCACTGTCTCGTTACACTCGTCAAGAACGACAAAAAAGAGATCAAAACGGGACATGATAGGTGCCGACATGTTGATGTTGGCTCGTAGCGTGGTCTTACGGTTGTACCGTCCACCAACCGGGTTTGCGGCGGCAAGAATGGATGTCCGCGCGTTGAGGGTGGCTTGGATACCGGCTTTGGCGATGGAGATCGTCTGCTGTTCCATAGCTTCGTGGATAGCAACTTGATCGGCTATATCCATCTTGTCGAACTCGTCGATGCAGCAAATACCGTTATCAGCCAGCATGAGAGCACCAGCCTCGATAGTGAATTCGCCTGTCTCTTCGTCTTTGACTACCGCAGCTGTGAGACCAGCAGCCGAGGAGGCTTTGCCAGACGTGTAGACTGCACGCGGTGCAAAGGAGCAGACATACTTCAAGAATTGAGATTTTGAGGTCGATGGGTCACCGACAACACAGATGTTTATATCACCTCGAAGGGCCATGCCTTCAGCTGTAGTCTTATGGACACCAGACATCAACTGTAGGAGGAGACCCTTCTTGACGATTTCGTGGCCATATACTGTAGGCGCGAGTGATTGCACAAGGCGATGGTATATGTGGTCACTATGGACCATCTCACGGAGTTCGTCAATCTCGCTGGGCGTCATAGAGTTTAGCACAGCTGTTTGTGCTTCTTCAACTGTTTCAGCTGTGTCGGTGGAGGTTTGAGTTAAGGAGTTGATGATATCGTGAACTTGACGAGAAGCAGACTGGCCAGGTGTAGATGTATCAGGGGTAACCATATTAGCTAAGAAAGCCAACCGGTAAGTTAGGTCGCGAACACCCAGAGACTTCAGGCCTGACACTCCATTACCACCAACGTCGTTGCCGCGCGGCGCATTCCGGTCATCTCGCATTACTGTAGGCCTAACACCTGGAAGTCCTAACTGACTTATATCGGGTACCACAATTAATGCACCAGTAAAGATACACTTCTCTCCTGCCTTTGCACGGTCCACCATCTCACCTCGCAGGATGACATCCATCGTCCGCGGCATACTTCCCGTAGGAATTTCAGAACTGTTCTCTTGAATGCGGACCTTTTGCCAATCGACAAAAGTACTTTGTCGGATGTCGAGTTGCCATGCCAGACGGTTTCCGCATTGTATATTAGGGCATTGTGTAGGTTCGGTATACCGGAACGTCTGCTCAACATTTGGAATGACCGAGCGGCATGTCTCGCAGTTAAAAGTTGCAAGGGAGAGTTCTGGTCGGACCTCAGATGTACGAGTGACGGTTCCAGATATAGAAAGGAGTTGACCAATGTTCTTGGCACGTAAACTACGAACTCGGGAGACGAGGGGGAGGTTGTAGAAGGCAATAGCGAACAGTTTATCCGTCTGCTGGTTTGCCGTCTTGCTGCCCTGTAGCTCAGATTGGCTTCCAGAGCCAATATTACTTCCGCCTGATGTTGTTTGGTTGCTAGAAGTAGTCGCCTGTCGATGCTCGCGGAAATATTGGGGTTCGTACTTGGCGATCATATTGTGGAGGGCATTGGTGAGGAAAGGGAGAAATCGGTAGTATTGAGTATTGATAGCATTGGCCAGACCGCCATTTTGGTAGCTAGCAACATGATTATAGTTGACATAAAAGGTTGATAGTTGGTAAATTCGCATGCCATGAATCTGGGCGACGTAAAATTTGTCTGTAGTAACAGCACTGGACGTTGGCGCACCGGATGATACAGGATCGTCGATAAATCTAATACTTCTGTTAACTATATGCTAGTTATATACTATTAACTAGAAAGATAAGGCCTACTCTTCTATAAAGCTTTCAAAATGCTCTTGGACGGTAATCCTATCTTCTACTCATACTCGAGGAATAGTGGCAGGGTCTCGTTGTCTTGAGCGGCCGGGAATCTGGTCATCAGCAAAACCTTCGCCTCATCATCACTATGAGCAGCTAGACTTTCGGAAGGAGGCCCTCGAGGTCGTGCCGAAGAACCTCTGTTAAACTGTCTCGGTCTAGGAGTTGCGGCAGCCCTGGATGGAGCATCAGACATTCCGGCGTCACTTGGGGTCGCCATTTTGAAGGTATATGATCCGTGCCGGTATTAAGAAGGCGTGTGGGTTTCGGCGTTGAGGAATATCGGGATTGGTATTATCGTAATCACAAGCATACAAATATTCACCTTGATAGAAAAATTAAGGAGTAGAGGGGCAGAAATGCAGAAATGGGACTCAGACGCGTCGCGCCTTATGAAATTGGGAGACGCGATTTTAGGCCCAACCAATTAAATCGTAATATTTTTAAGTGCTTGCAGATGCCAAGACATATAACTGTTTGCTCTAGTGTGATATATGCATTACTTGAATAGCTCATGCATATATAGAGAATTTAGATCAAAGCTAGCACAGTAACAGAAGAATCAGAAAATTGAAACTTCTATCAGTTGTCGCAACTTCAAAGTACAACGATGAAATTCCAAATTAAAACTAACATTTCCGTCTACAAAATAAATCTGGATTTTACATGATATATATTTTTGAAAACTTCTTCACTAATCGCACCAAGTATCTCGGACTACAATCAAATAAATTATTCAAGTGCTGGTACGGTAATTCCTCAACCCAATATTCATTCATATATAATGAACTTCACTGCGCGGTGACACTGAAACCATGGCGCAAGAATTGTCATCCAACTGGAAGAAGTTACAAGGAAAGATAAAGGCCGAATCTACCGCAACTTCTTCATCGGCAACAAAAGCCACAGTTAAGCGGAAAGCCGACGAGGAAACGGCGTCCAAATCTCAGCCAAAACGGCAGAAGCTACAGAATTCATCCAAACAACAGCGAGAGCAACGGCCATTATCAAACACATTTAATAAGTCTTCTCGTAAGCCTACTCATACACCTTCATTAAAGAAACCAATGGGCGTCGCCCAATCCTCTGTTATTGCCAAAGGCACACCAGCAACTATTACGCCCTCGCTCGCTCTCTGGGCCGAAGACAATGATATATCGCCAGAGGACTTAGCTGAGGCCTACAGCCTGGGTGTCAAAAATAATGCCTCTCTTATGGCCGCGGAGCCGCCCCGTGTCAACGAGGGACTAGCACCCGGAGTCGATGTCGGCAAGTACATAGCGCTAGACTGTGAGATGGTCGGTATAGGACCCGAGGGGCGGGAGTCAGTGCTAGCACGTGTCAGCATTGTTGATTTCCACGGACGACAGGTGTATGACTCGTTCGTACGGCCACGCGAGCCTGTGACCGACTGGAGAACTCACATAACGGGATTGACGCCGCGCATACTATTACCCGTCGCACGCAGCTTCGACGAGGTGCAAGAAGCTGTCGCGGTACTCATGCGTGGACGCATCATCGTGGGCCACGATATCCGGCACGATCTAGCCGTGCTACAGCTGGACCATCCCTCGGGACAGATCCGGGACACTGCACGGTTTGCTGGGTATAGGCAATACGGGCACGGACCCAAGCCGGCACTCAGAGTTCTAGCGCGCGAGGTATTAGGAGTTGAGATTCAGACCGGCCATCATTCGAGTGTTGAGGACGCGCGAGTTGCCATGCTGCTCTTCCGGAAACGAAAGTCCGATTTTGATGTCCAACACGCGGGTAAGTACGGCTTGCCTACGGAGAAGACGATAGCAAACGAGAAGGTAGGTGTAGATGGTAGTAAAGGGCAAGAAGCAAAGTCAAAGAGAGGGACGGGGAAGAAGAAAAGAAGCGGCATTGATGTAGATGAAATAAGTGAAATACAAGGAAGTATGCCTTTGAATAATATTATACTGGTACTTCGCGGGTTTAAGACTATTGTAACCTCATCAATACCCAGTTGTTACTTTCTTATTTCCAGTTGCTAGCGTTACTAGGTAAATATCTCCTATTAGTACTCTATGGAGCTATACTCCTATTCTATGTATATATCTAGAACACACAATCTTAATACCCCTTATTCCACACTTAGGGGTACGCCACACCGTGCAATCGTGAGAAACACAATATAAACGTCTCTAAAAGCAACCCATCTTCTATATGTTTCTTTGACCACTCCCTCTATTTTTGTTAAACGGGAATATCCTCCATCAATTCCATCGCGCCCTCTCTTCCAACGGTAATGATGACGTCGCCCAAGGTCTTCGTCACGAACCCTGCTTCGCAATAGGCGAAATAGTACTATAGACATGTTAGTCAACTCGCATCATGCACATCTTCATATTCGCGATAGTAGAATTATATAAATAGAATGGTGAAAACTCATACCTCCCACTTCCGTCTAAACACTTCCACCTCCCGCGTTGTCATACGTGGATGTTCCGCCTCCAGCGCCGGTCGAATCCTAGACTCGAAGTTGAGCATAAAATTCTCCCTCCAGAGACGCAGCGTCTTCGCATAGTGGCCTCCAATGTTCTCAACCCGCTCTATGATTAGCGTCCCCTTGGACTCCTTCGAGATGTGGTTAAGGAGCTGGATAATGGACGGAAGATAACCGCCAGGGAAAATATGCTTGTTTATAAAACTACCGAGGCGATTAGCATGTGGCTTTCACCATGTAGGGTCATTAGTATAGGTAGAAAAGGGGCAAATAGTTATCTCACTCTTCGGACTTGGAATAGGCCTCGTGTCTCCCTTCCGGCATCGTGATGCACTGAAACATGGCAATGCCGCCCTTCTTCTTCAACAGCCGATCGACACATGCGAAATATGTACTCATGTATTCTGCACCGACGTTTTCCAACATTTCTATAGAGACAATCTTATCAAAAACCGCCGTATCTGGTAAGCTACGGTAGTCGAGTAGTTGCACGTCTATCCGGTTTGAGAATCCTGCTTCATCGATCCGCTGTTCTGCTAGTCTCTTTTGTTCTTTTGACAACGTCAGACTTGTTACTCGGCAGCCAGTCTTTCTAACTGCCTCGATAGCGAAAGACCCCCAACCTGTGCCAATCTCTAGAACATGATCAGTAGACTTGATCCTAGCGCCGTCGATGAACCGTTTTAATTTGGTCATCTGTGCCTCTTCAAGACTTTCTTCCGGTTCGCTAGGAGATACTTGGGTTTGCCAAATAGGACACGAGTAAGTCATGTCTTTTGAGAGGAAAGCCGCGAACATGTCATTACTAATATCATAATGAGCGGTGACATTCAAGAGCGCGTTTGACAGCGTATTTGTAGTTCGAGCAATACTCGATATCGTCCCAGATACTGAGGAGAATATCGTAGTGCCGTTGCTTAACTGGTCTCGGTTTGCAATAAAGAGCTATACATGTTCCAAGTGTTAAATTCGATATGTTAAGAAACAGAAGCGACCCACGAACCTGAAAGAATGCTGTCAAATCGGCGCATTCAAATTCGCCCAGCATGTATGATTCCGCAAACCCCATATCAGCAAAAAGAAGCAACCTCATCCAAAAAGCATCATTTTTCACTCTTATTTCAACCCGAGGAACTATGTCTGCTTTCCTAAGTGGAGGATCTCCATTGATAGCTTTTGCGCCCTTCGAAGAAAGTCTCTCCCCATAGACCATTCTTGTCCCTGCAGGCTCGTCAACTAATAACAATGTACCAATCTCGAGTTTAGAGAAGACAGAAAGCACAGCCGGCTTGGCAATAGCCAAGGCCGGCCCCCAGGTCAGGCTTCCTAGAGCTCCGCGAATTATATCGGTGCCCCGGGTAAGAGGCCGGGCAATGACTGACGGAATTGACGGGGCCATGGTCAAGTAAGATAATTGTGCAAGTGCTAAGGGGTAATAAGGCTTTTCTAGAGTATGCTTAACAATTTCGCAAGCAACTGAACGTATCAGATTCGACTTTACTATAAACTAAAGAGAAAAACATATGAAGATTAGAGACAAAGAAAAGAAAACCGAGACATCTCTAGGGAGACTCTAAGCTACCCATGTTAGGTTAAAAAGCGATAGTGCCCACTATGTAGACTAAATCGTCTATCTATGTGGATTGTTGCATTCATCCCGTATTTTACTCTCGCTGCTGTATGAGGTTAGAAATGGAATATGAAAATACCATGTTTCTTTCGACGGAGGACCGACTCGATCAGGTTCGGACAGGGGTATGCAAGACGAGTAAAAGAACGAATCAACCCCAGCCTGTTTCAGGATGCATCAACACTACTTGGTCCTGGGAGACTTGCTGTGACCGGAAGTAGATCATGTGTAACACCGGAAGAGTAGAAACATGGAAGTTTTTAGTCGATCATAAGCGTCGATATTTAAGGCTCCATATCGCGATAAGATTGTCAAATAATATTTATCTACGCTATGTTCGTATCACGACATCTCGCGACATTAGTCCAGACTAGGACAACAAATATGGCATGAAACAGTAGAAGTACTCGCGATAACACTCCACTCTAATAAGTCTTATCCTTTTATTTGGCTTGCACGGCGCCAGGTGGCGGGCTAGTAACGACATCTAGGTTAGTTATGTATGTAAGAATGTGGCTAGCAATATAACCGGTTCTTAGCGACACCGCTACTTGTATTAGGTAGTCTCATGAGAAAAAATAAATATCTTCTATGACATCAGCATTATCCCGACGAGAATGAGTTAATCGATGTCTCGGAATCTTTTATCTTCTCCCCCCTGTCCATGATAATGAGATAGGATACCTATCGAAACACTAGTTATCTATAACCTAGGTATACTACATATTCACATAAAGAAAGCTCGAAGGCGTTTGGTAATAAATAAAAGAGATGACTAATAGACAACAAGGATAATAGGTAATGAATTCGATGAAGTCTTAATTAACTCCTTTTTGAGGCGAAATGTGCCTTGGCGATACGTCAAACATGGATAGATTTAATATACTCAATTGATGCATATCCCAATTTGCATATATCGAGGTACTTACAAACGCGTTCTTTAATTGATTTTATTAGTCGTTACGCGTCGTAAAGATTTATCCCCCATACCGCAAATAACCACTTAAACTTCTTGATAATATTAAGCGAAATACATCAAGATGGCGCATCCCGTTTTCACACGTTGACTCTCAGGAGAACATCCATAAAAAGTCTCAAATACATTTACTACCATGTCGTATACATCATGATGGTGAAGTCAATCCAATTGAAACGTACTGGAGCCCCAATGAGAGTGAAGGTATGTCGATGGCAAATACTCCTTAAGCAACCCAACTAATTCTAATATAACAATATAGACCAGATAAAGACGGCTTATCTCAGAGGCCGTAAGCTTCACGGCAAAGTTGTGAAGTTGCCGGAAGGATATCATGGTTCCGTGGTTGAGAAGTCAACGCCAAAGAAGCCGGACCAAAGCCAAGAGGAAATGGTTGAGGATCTTGAAATTATAGAAGACCCAGAGGACCAGCTCGAAGTAGGCGCAATGCAAGGAAAAGCAACATTTGATGAATTCGTGGTTTGGAATCACGAGACCTTGGCCAATTCGACTGAAGATCCGTACTTGAGAGGTATGGAAGAATGGATATCTTTTGCAGGGCAGGTTCGTCGAGATATATTATTAAAGAAGCAGGAGATCAGCTAACAGTTGAGATGCAGATACATTCATATCCTTCTGGAAAAGCCTCAGATAACTAAATTCAATTATATGACATTCCTCAGGATCCAAAGACTTATATTATATAGTCTTGTCACTCTTGGTTTAAAGGCATGGTGTTCAGGAGTTCGCTCGGGTGAAAGTCGGGACTATGATAGATACAAGGAAGTCTACATCTTAATAAAATCCAAAATTGCAAAGTTAATATTCAGCTCCAACCATATTTCAGGCAACCAATATCATTAACTGTTCAGCGATGATGATGTAGAGTGAGTATATATAAGAGACCATATTGCAACTCAATGAATTGCAGATTTCAATTATATGCAAGTACCTAAGTACATACGCCTAGGTCAAGGAGTGCTATGATTGGTTGACTACTGCTGCAGGTACCACAGCTTAGGGGGTCTTAGTTGCCGACTACCGATATCAACCAACCTTATCGGGGAGCTTTAGTTCTCTGCCCCTCCAAAATATTCCAATCACTTACATCTTTCTCTTATCAACCGTACAGCCATTTCATCAAAACTAGACTCGCCGCCATTAGATTTCATCATGAGTCCAAGCGCGCTCAATACTGAGGCTGCTGTGGGCCCCGAGGGACCCCGGCAGAAGAGCCATGCCACCGCCGATACCATACCGTGGGTTGCATCGCTATGGTCGAGAAGGACGGACAAGGTCGCCGCGCCGAAATTCTAAGCATCAGAGATACCAAAAGCGGCCGCCAATTCTACTGCAACTTCGATAATTTCAACAAGCGACTAGACGAGTGGGTACCTGTTAAGAGGATAGATTTCGATCAAGATGTCGAGTGGCCGAATCCCGACAAGGATAAACCTAAGGAAGGAAAAGGCAAGAATTCTACCGCGCCTAAGAGGAAAACCGTTGGAAATAAATCACAAAAGCGGCCTGGGAAGAGGGAACAATCGGTTATGTCCGAGGCTGTCACGCCTATTCAGTGGACTGATTTCGCCGATAGTCAGTCGCAATCGAAAGCTCCGTCGACGCCGCGCGATCTCGAGTCGAAGGCTGGAGAGACTCCCGCTGCCAATGGTGATGAGATGGACATAGATGACGATGAACCAACACCCGAAGTTAAGAAAGAAAATGGTTTCAGCAGGGAAGCAGAGATAGAAAAGCTGCGGACCGGTGGCTCCATGACACAGAACCCTACCGAACTCGCTCGAATACGAAATATATCTACAGTCCAATTCGGTCAGTGGGACCTATTCCCCTGGTACTTCTCGCCATATCCGGAGTCGTTTACACAAGAAGATATAATATTTATTTGCGAATTCTGTCTGAGTTACTATGGCGATAAGAAGGCCTTCTCTCGACATCGGCATAAGTGTACACTCCAACATCCGCCTGGAAATGAGATATACCGAGACGACTACGTATCGTTCTTTGAGATTGACGGGCGGCGACAACGGACCTGGTGCCGGAACCTATGTTTGTTATCTAAGATGTTCCTCGACCACAAGACTCTCTACTACGACGTGGATCCTTTCCTCTTCTACGTCATGACACAGAAATCTGAGAAGGGTCATCATCTCGTAGGTTATTTCTCCAAGGAGAAGGAGAGCGCTGACGGATACAACGTCGCCTGTATTCTCACTTTGCCCCAATATCAGCGAAAGGGATTCGGTAGATTATTAATCCAGTTTTCCTATGAGCTCTCCAAAATCGAGGGCAAGCTAGGATCCCCCGAAAAGCCGCTGTCTGATTTGGGTCTTCTCAGTTATCGCCAATACTGGTCGGAGAATATACTGGAACTTTTGCTTGAGTGTAATGAGCGGGATGAGAAGTCGAGCATTGAACAGATCTCAACTTCGCTCGCCATGACCACCCAGGACGTCGAGCACACCTTACAGGCGCTCAAGATGCAAGTGTATCATAAGGGAGAGCACAAGCTAGTCATTCCGGACTCGCTGATCAAGCAGCGAGAGAAGTCTAAGCTAAAGAAGAAGCGATATATTTCACCCGAACGCATCCAGTGGAGACCCCCTGTATTCACTGCTTCTTCGCGGACTTGGGGTTGGTAAGGTGTTTGATTAGGATGTTGTTATAGCGTTAGAAAGAGAGCGTGTACACTACTGAATACCTAGATACCCCATTTTCGTTACAGACTAATAAGCGTTCTTAGCTGTTTGTATTGTATGTGTGCTACTTATCGTGATATTCAACACTCTCAATTTCGATCACTGCTCAAGACGATCTGCTTCGACAGTATTCAACGAAGGGAATGGAGTATTCAAATTGAACATATCTTAGGTTAAGGTAGTTTTTCAAAAGAGAAGACAGTTTGACAATGTTATCCGCCCTGCAGGTAAGAAAGTGGTGTTTTCATCCAGTCTAAGGAAATTTCGTAGAACGAAACCTGAATAACAGGTCGGGAATAGGGGTAGTAAATGAAAAAAAAAAAAACACAAGACAATCTACCCGTCGATGTTTTCCATCGCATCACAGGAATCTCTCCTCATGTCCAAAAGAACGAAACATGCAGAACCCATCCTAATAAACATAAACACCATCATCCTCGCCCTCCAACTTGCCCTCCTCAACCGCCTTCTTCAACACCTTGACCACGCGCGCGGCCAACTCCTCGATATCCGGCGTCTTAGCAACCGCAACCGCAACCGCATCGGCACTGCCAGCACCATCGATGATCAAGCCGTTGTCCTCGCGCTTGAAGAAAGGCACGTGTAAGTCGTCGGCAGCGGCGGCGATGGTCTGCTGCGCGTTGGTTATGAAGACGTCGTCGAAGGCCGGGCCGGCGATGATGATGGCTTTGGGGGCGCTGCTGGCGGTCTCGAGTTTGGCCTTGTCGGAGGGTTGGAGGTACGCTGGGGCTTGGCCGCGGAGGACGCTGGGGAGGGCTTTGATGGCTAGGTCGGGGATTGTGGAGAGGTAGACGACTGGGGGTGGTTAGTTAGGTAATTTACGAGAGAGAGAGAGGGCTAGAAGAGATAGATAAGAAAAAAGGGTTGCTTGGGTAACTATGTAGCTAGAGGTAGGCAAACTAAACAGCAATAAACATACCCTCAAAATCAGGCAATATGGCCTCGCTAAAGGCTTTTGCCGTCGTCTCGAACTCGCCCAGGAGGATTACCGGGATGGCTGACGGGGTTTCCGTGTTGGTCGACATGGTTGCTGCGTTGGCTGATTTGAGATAGAAATATTCCAAAGTAAAAATCGTTTTAAGTGAGTGTTGAAGTCTTAGAGATCGTTTCTGCTCGACAAAAAGCTGGTCTTAAGTCTTAGGGGCAAGTCCTATTTATACTTTATTTTACTTCTACCCTAAGTCACGATATGACACGTCGTCACCATTCTCGTCATCCAGAGCGGAAACCCTAAGTTTGTCCATCGTGTTCGCTCCGAGTATTACACCCACGAAACACTTCGTTCTAGTCTTGTTCCGATCCCTCCTCCTAGCATCACATATTCGTACACTCATAGCCTTCCTTGACCGCCTCCCCACGATGTACCCCCTGAACAGGCAGCCTTCTTTTTCTCCTCACCTTCTTCCTGCACCCAACACGCGATCAGAACAAAAAGTTCCCCTGACCATCTCGAACGCATTACAGAACCATCCCATACTTCCACAGTACCACGCCATGCCAGCATTTTCGTGCCCCCCTAACGCCTAGACCCTATATACATACATCAACGTATCGTGCAACAAACCATCGGGAGCCCCGTGGGGAAACAGTACCATCTGCCTTGCCAGGCAGACGAAGCCCTCCACCAACACGTCCCACCCAAGCCCTCGCCCTGCCTACGCAGCAAAAGCAAACAACCCGCAAGCGAGGCTGATGGTCCGGGCCGTCGCACGCGAGGTAGCACCGGGGCACCGCGACGTTCCGACGTGGTGGCACGTCCTCGAGTCCGAATTACGCGGCCTTACGCTTCTAGATATAATTCCTGTTTGACAGAGTCGGCCAGCGGGACGGCAACAAACCAATCGCTTCTAGCGGTAGCATTCCCTTTTCATACTTAGATACCTACGTACCTCACCTACAAAAAAAAAACATAGAGGGCCATAATTCACCCGAGCCTCGCCTTCTGCCACCGTACACCGTGTCCTGTGGACTATCGTCGTAAGGCTGTGAGTCAGACCCTCGGTGTCACTGTACGAGGCTTCGGGAACGACTAAGGAACGAATCAGTATAGGCAGGAGAATTATACCTACTCGCCTAGCTTTAGAAGCTCAGGAGATCTGGGGTTTGTGAACTGGCTACGCAGAGCTGAACATCTGATATGGAAAGATGGATGGATTGCTACACCTAGAAAACTGTTGGATATAATCAGTCATTCGGCGAAATTCGTGTAAGGCGACCTCATGGCCTTAGCCTTAGCCATAGCTATGTCTAACCCTTTCCCCTTACTCAAAAGCCTGACAGACCAATCCTACAAAAACACAAGGACCAATATAGTTACGACGCGCGCGAAGTCTCGAACTACTGACAGCCATGCAAAGTAAGTGACATCTCTAGACGCAAGTCGCAATCAAATCAAATCAAACCAGATCAAATCAGATTCTCTTAGTACTTACTATCAAGTAAAGCACACAGTTCATAAATCTATCGCGTCATCACAACCCGATTCTACTCGTCAACCCCTAAAACAAGGGGCGAACCCAGTAATAAATTACCTAATGAGGAGAGAGAGTTAATACTCTAATCCGATTTATGTTTTCGTTCCCCATGACCGAACACCGAAAGTCAAGTAGATTCACCATATCCTACCACTCAACATAAACGTCCCCGCCTATTTGACGTCCCGAACGATGGCGTTAATCGCCTTGGCAACGTACTCGACGTTCCGCGTGTTTAGGCCAGCCATACTTATACGACCGTTCTTCGTCATGTAGATGTGATAATCAGAGCGGATCTTCTGAACTTGGGTTTCTGACAGGCCAGTAAAGCTGAACATGCCAATCTGATCCGTGATGTGGTTCCAGGTACCCGGGGTGTCTAGCTCTTCTATCTTCGACCGCAAAGCCTTGCGCATAGACATAATGCGGCCGGACATAGTCTTCAAGTTCTCCTCCCACTCGGAAAAGAGCTTGGGGTCGTTAAGGACAATACTGGCGATACGTGCGCCGTACAGCGGAGGATTTGAAATCTCGGATCGCTGTAGAATAGATAACTGAGATGCGATTCGGGTGATGGTAGCTTCTGCATCTGACGCGGGAGCAGTCACTACGTGGAAGCAACCGGCTCGCTCGCCGTACAGACCGAAGTTCTTGGCGAAACTCTGTGCTACGACGAACTCGAATCCCTGTTCGACAAAGTATCGGACGGCCGCATTGTCGCGCAACAGGTCACCCGACGCAAAGCCCTGGTATGCGGAATCAAAGAAGGGGAAGTGGTTCTTTAGGCGAATCACCTCCGCGATCTCCTTCCATTGCTCGAGAGTAGGGTCGACACCAGTAGGGTTATGCGCGCAAGCGTGCAGCAGAACAACTGATCGTTCCGGAGCACCGAGTAAGGCAGACTTCATGCCCTCAAAGTCAAGTCCTCTTGTCTCTTTAGAGAAATAGGGGTAGCTGGCGATAGGGAGACCAACATTGGTGAAGATTTGGTGGTGGTTTGCCCACGTAGGATCCGAGAGGTAGACCTTCTTGTTTCCCTGGTAAAACTTGGCAAGGAAGAGAGCTCCCAGATGCACAGCACCGGTACCTGAGATGGTCTGGAAAGAGGCAACACGCTTCTCCTTAATGGCAGGAGAATCGGCACCACCAAGGATCAGCTCGGCGGCTTTGCTGGTAAACGAAGCAATACCAGAAATAGGGGCATATTCGTGGTTTAGCTCGGGATCGTCGTGAAGAATATCGTCTGCCTATTTCAAAAAGGGAGTAAGTAATCAATATTCCGCACGAGTCATTCATATAAGCCGATATAGGAGCTTTGGGAGATATAAGACTAGTTTACAAAGAAAAAGTAATACCTTCTTTACTACTGATAAGATCCAAGGCTTAGCGTTATCGTCACGATAAACACCGATACTCTAGGTCCTAGTTAGCAATAATATCTCAAAGTGGCAGAGGAGGGGTGGGATGCGGTGAGACATACTAAATCTACTTTGCCGGGATCTTCATCAGCTCGGAAAGCCCTTACGAGTCCGAACAGAGGATCCTCTGGAGCTTGAGGAACGACATCAGCCGTGAAGCTGGTTGCTGATGGTGGCGACATCTGTTTAGCTAGACTTTTGACTCTGGATACTGATTGACCGTGGTAGGATGGGTCAAAAGGCATGTTCTTGAGAGAAAGGGAAGGAAAAAAGAAATATATAAATTAAATAGGTAAGTAATGCAGGTGCACAAGGTTACAAAGTCGCAAGGTCGCAATGTAACAAGAAGCGCAGGACACCGGGGGAGGGGCGGTCGACCTGGAGTTGCTTTGGGGAAGTTTGTCACAGTGGGCTGATGGATATGAAACGCGGTGGATGTTATAGGTCCGTTTGTAGGCGTTAGTAGGCGTTAGCAAGTCTTTTGCATGAACAATGGTCCAATTCGGTGCCACTCTCACGTAGGTGTACCTTGGTATTGAATAATAATAGAACGAGGGAGAGGTTCTAGGCGATCCAGTAGGAGGGGAACAGCAGATATGGCGGGGTTCAAACGGGCCAAGCTAAGGAAGTACGTCAGAGGTTTAGCGGCGGGGAGAACGGGAAGTAGCAAGATACATGTATGTATATATGTACTTTATACTTGATTGAGTAATTCGGATAGAAGGAACAAAGGATAGAAGTCACGATGGTTTAAAATTTTAAAGTTAGGTAGTAACTATAGGCAGGTAACAAGGAAGAAAGGTTCTAAGGAAAACAAATTAGTTAGAGCTGAAGCCGAAGTTGGAGAGAGCGTCGTTGGTCTTAAATGATATAATAAAGACAGGTTTTGATTAACAGATCTACCCGTTAGTGCGTGCATCTTTATAATAGCTATCTACTAACTTATACATTTATGCCTAGGTAGAATCATATTTAATATAGCTGATCCGGCTAGAAATAAAGACTAAATGTTTCAATCTCAATTTGCTTTCCTTCGACCGAGGTCCCACATCTGTAACCTGCCTGACTTACACGGGGAACTTGGTATTTTCGTCATCGGCCAAAGGTCATCGGACTTATCACAAGTCACGACTAGGCCGAATCCTTTTATGTAAGCTCGGCATGGGATCTACTTTAGGTACTCTTAAAGTTTCCTTTCCTAAACTCATCCCATAATATTGAACTCGCCATTTTTACTTGCGCACCTATTAGCTTTAATTACACTAATTGTACATTAATTAGATCGTGCCAAGGGTCTTCGAGTTAATCCCAAGGAATAGTTCGACCAGGTGTTGCTAACCAGATTATAGAATATCTCGGCATGTGATTTCTTCTATAACCTTCAGCCTCTTCACATGCTTTTTCTTGCCGTACATACTTTATTACAACATCCGCATATAAGGTAGGTGGTCTTATATAACTAAATCCCATACTATCAAAAATGCGCATAAGCCGCAAGTTGCAAAAAATGTGTACCTCGCTGGGCTTGCTTTCCGTGTTGCTTCCCCGAGCTGTCTGTTAGCTCCCCCTATATTCTCGGTCGTCTTTTCTGAATCAGTCACTAGTTGCTCAATACCCGCCGATTGTGTCGTTAACGTGTCTATGAGTTGCGTCTGGAGCTCTGATATTTCAAGCAGTGACTTTTCTGCAGTCCTAAAGTCCATGTTAATAAACTACATTCAACTACCCCCATCACACAATCAACTTACCTGACTTGATCTAATGTGCTCTCGTAATGTTTGAGCATATCTTGGTTATCCTTCTCGAATATTTGTATTTGTTCTGTAGTTAAATCTCCTGTTGGGGCATAGGTCGGTGCCTCGTCGGGAGGCAATGCTTGACTTGCCCTCCTTTTCGGCCCCGCAAGACTTCCCGCCTCTTGCGCACTCGCTAACGCGCCTAGAGAAATATCGTGGTTTCGTGACTTAGCTAGCACACTCCTACTCTTCTCCATTTCCCTCATTAACCGTATTTCCATCATATCTTGTTGTGTCTTGACGCATTCTTGGAGTCGGTGCCGGAGGAGCCACAATACGCTATCCCGATGATTGCGAATGGTCTTCACTCGTTCTTCGGCTTCAACATGTTCTGACGATCTGCTAATCGATGCGCCACCTGCCGCCCATGCTCCTAGCGCACCTAAACCGCGAGCGAATTTCTTCTCAATTATCCTAGACTCGATTTCTGATCGTGCTTTCTCGACATCTTCGAGGCGGCGGATGCTCGCATTGAGCTCGCGTAGCATTTTCTTTGAATTTGCATCTATCTCCTCGCGTTCTCGATCAGAGAGCGGCCTCGATTGTTTGTCTAAATGCGCCGATCGAATCAAGGTCTTTCGCGGTTGGGCAGTCGAGAGATACGACTGTCGTATATTCCTAAGGTCGGCGTGGAGTGAAGCTATGTGCGAATTCTAAAGTCTCTGGTTAATAACAAGTTTATAGGGTATCGATGTATTCAATCGCGAGTACTTGCTATTCTATAAGCTTCCTTCAGAAAATCATCCAAGGTGTCCAAGCTAAAGCTTCTTTTTGTAATAGAAGCTTCATGTTGCTTAAGGAAGCCATTGAAAACGGGAGTTAGATCGGTCATCGTGAGGACTGAAGGAGGTTCGGTTTTAGTAATATGGCATGTTTATTATTGTAATGTTGAGTATTCCTAAACTCTTTTAAAATGCGAATAGTCTATCGGGTAGAAGCTGGCAACCTGTTCAATTCAATGTACAATGTCCGATAATGCATATAATGATGTTATCTGTTCGTCGGTAAAAAAGTAGAGTTGACGCCGACGTGGCTTGTATTGAATGTGGCTTTTATTATTTAAAGGTAGTAACGAGGCGCAGTACAGTGCAACTTTCCAATGGTTGACCCAATGCCCTGGAATCGACTAATTTCATATCGATACATATTAGGTATTCCGGTTCAAGAATTGCCCAGCATTCAAGTACCGACCCGGCTTAGCATGCGTCAGAGTACCTAAACCAAGGAAAATATTAATGTTGAATTCGCTATCAAATAAGTCTCCTGCTATAGTTAAACGTCTAACAATTAATAAATATCCGACGAATAGAGTCGTATTTCCACTGTTACATAACGCGACTTTAAATATTCCCTAATATAATATGTATTTGACGTTATCGTCCACCATCCCGACTTCGCAATCCGCTTAAATTTACTGCTAGGTTTTTTCGAGTTCCGTAAATCGGTTAAGACTTGCCGTCCCAATCCCCCAACGTTAAAAAAATGAAATCCGGTAATGATAGCACCGCCTATTGGAGCAACCACCTGCCTTATTATTATTTTTTACGGAAATAGCACCAATGGGGAGTAGTTGCCGTAGAAAACTTCGGGAATAACTGTTAAGAAAACCTTAGATAGCCACCTGCACTTACCATGCAGCAATATCCACTTTCCGTATACTGAACCTTGTTAGGGACCGCCGAACGGGGGGGAAATAAGTAGGTGATGGGTACCAAGTCGGTCTTGTAAAAGTTCTCCTATCTTATTTTCACCGCCGTTGGTTATGTTGATGTAATCGATATCGTGGAAATGAATGACAGTGAGAAACCACCGACAACAACATCAAAAAATCATGATGATGAGACACGAGATCGACCTTCTAAAGAAGAGGAATTAACATCCCAGACGCTTCGCCAAAGTAGAGATCATACCCAATCAGGAGATACAGACGATGACGATGACACACCCGGTTCTGAAGATGGTGTCGAAGAAGAAGACGAACCTCGAGACCTCGAAACACTCTCGCGAGTGTCTAGCGGCCCACCTTATAGCATCTTTTCGCCCTCCATGATACGATGGATAGTCTTTATGAACTGTATCTCGGCTTTCATATCGCCTATCACAGCAAACATATACTTTCCGGCCATCCCAGCCTTATCACAAGACCTCGGTGTAACCGTTGCACAGATCAATTTGACGTTGACGACTTATATGATCTTTCAAGGCTTGGCACCTACTTTCTTCGGCGATTTCGCTGACGTCGCCGGAAGACGCCCGGCTTTTATTATTGCCTTCACCCTTTACCTTGGCGCCAACATTGGTTTGGCCCTGCAGCGGAATTATGCTGCCTTGCTTGTCCTCCGGATGCTGCAGAGTAGTGGGAGTAGTGGTACACTCGCCCTCGTTTATGCGGTGGTTGCGGATATCGCCCCAACCTCCGAGCGAGGAAAATATATGGGCATCGTCGGAGCAGGTTTAACCATAGGACCTGCTCTCGGTCCAATTATTGGCGGGTTACTATCCCAATACCTTGGATGGCCAGCTATATTCTGGTTCTTATGCATTCTTGCCGTTGTATGGATGGTTCCCTACGTATTGGCGGTCCCAGAGACAGGGAGAAAGGTCGTAGGGAACGGATCTATTCCACCACAGGGTTGGAACATGACACTTCTTGACTACATCCGATTCAGACGCGAGGCCCGGAACCAGCCAACCGGCCAGGTGAAACAGAAGCTCCGGCTCCCCAACCCTTTCAATACTCTTGCTGTTGTAGGCAATAAGGATATGGCCATGATCTTGTTCTATAATGCCTCTCTCTATATAGGCTTCATGATCGTCACGTCCACTCTCGCTTCTCAGTTTGCCGATATTTACCACTACAACGACATCCAGTTAGGGTTGTGTTATTTGCCGATTGGTGGAGCAACCACAGTTTCGTCAATCTGCAATGGTTATATGATAGACTGGAATTTTCGACGTATAGCTAAAAAGTTGGGCGTCAGCATTGACCGGAAACGTGGAAACGATCTCAAAGGCTTTCCTATTGAGAAAGCCCGTCTCCAACTGGTTTACCCGCTAGTTATTATTGGGGCTTTAGTATATATCGGCTTCGGCTGGGCGCTACATTACGAAGTCCATGTAGCTGTTCCTCTCATACTATCATTCTTCATCGGGATATGTGTCACCGGACCTTTCCAGATCATAAACGTTCTGATTGTTGATCTTTATCCCGGAGCCCCAGCGACGGCGACTGCTGCGAACAACCTGTGCCGATGCTTGTCTGGTGCTGTAGCGACGGCAGTAATACAATACATAATCGACGCCTGGGGAAGAGGATGGGCTTACACGTTCATCGCCCTTATATTTACGTCGTTCTCTCCCGCTCTATGGGTTATTCAGAAATACGGGCCTAAGTGGAGAGAAGAACGCGTAGAGAGGATGAGGCAAGCCGTAGAGAAAAAGGAGATAGAAGCCAAAGGAAGGAAAACGTTGTAGCTGGGCAGAATAATGGTATCCTGGTAGAGTCTCGACTTTCGTCCGGTTGATCCTTATTGACATTCTCCACGTTAGACTATGAATTTCCATATAAGAGCATGGGTTCAAAATTCATACAGACCATATTTATGGTGGGATCCTAATTTAGAATGCGATAAATTTTCTTTAAAAGCTTCATAAATTAACCTTAGAATACGAGAATCTTACGTGCCAAGAACTTATTCATTATTAAGGATAATTTCTTCTACCTCATTAGCATTTAGTGATTATGTTATACAAGGCAAAGATGAAAAAAGAAGCTAGTAATATATAAGACTATGTACTGAACTTAAAGTAGACTAAGAAAAAAGCTGTATCAAAAACTCTGAAGCCAAGGCAAATAGGGGAAGTTCAAGGTGTACGGACGATAGAGATCGCTTATATGTATATCTACGGATATATGAATATACTAAGTGCGTCGCCCCGCTATCGAGATGTTCATCTGAATCTCTAAAGGCCTAACCTAGTGTTATCCTTGTCTCCTTCAACAAACAACCTTATGAAACACAATTTCATATTATCCATGATTCTGAAAAATGTAATTGATACTTTATAGTTGTGAATATGACGCGTAAATTACCGTGGAAAAGGGCCGAAATAGGCTCGAGAAGCACTCCAAGATCACCAACGTCGACTCCTATTAGGCAGCAAAAAGTAAAGCGTGAGAATATTGAAGATGACGATAAGCAAGCTACAGCTTCACCTACTGCCGCTAAAAGGTGAAGAGCTCCCACTCTACGCCTACGTCTCCTACATCTAAGCATACACCTCAACCTGGATCGTCACCACCTTCTCTAAAGCCACTACCCGAAAGGTACGTGCACTCATCATCACTAATCACAAACTCGTCTAACTTCATATTTAGCTACATGATCGAGGGTCTTGATAATGATGACTTATATCGCATGGTAGAGGATGAGTTTTTATCAACGGCTCAGCAGTTCACCGCTCACTTGCATGCTGCTGAATATCACCGTCTAAAAGCAGCATCTAAGTCGCAAAACGCGGATACCATTAGGGACATCTCGAGACCAGTCGTTGGGCGGATGACCGACCTAGTCAAGCAGAAGCAAGAACGAAAGGCTCGTCTCGAGAAGCAGAAAGCAGCAACTAGAAAGGCAAGAGCTGACAGAAATCGAAATGATGACTCTACCGCGAGTGAAAGTGACTTGTGGCGTTCCGCGTCTTTGCACGGACTCATGGAAAGCCCAAGAAAGAAAGCAGCTCGCCTTGATAAGTTGACCAAGGTGGCGACTACAACTCGTGCTGCTGCTGGTTTGGCACAGCCAAGTCCGGACAGTTATTTACTACTTCTCATCCTACCCGTAAAGACCTCACTAGCAGTAGACCTATACATCATTCGACGTCGAAACAGAATAGTGAAACAGAAAGTGACGACGACGAAGATCTAGACGGCCCTTCTACTAAGATGCCTACGAACTCGGTTAAGAAACTTCCACCATCTACGTCTCAACCCCCAAAGCCAAGGCAAGTCCCAAGTACTACAAGTAACAACCACCCCCTACGCCGTTCGGAGAAAATCCACCCCATCATCCAGCAACCAGGATCCAAGGCCACAGCCACTACAGAAGCCTCCGAGGAAGAGAAGGATGACGGCAGCGGAGACTTCTTAAGCCGCCTCAAGCAACGTCAAGAAGACCGCAAGCGCAACCGAGATCAAAGAAAACAAGCAGCGTCAAGCAAAGCACAGTCAACAACAGATGATATCATTCCAGGCTTTCTCTAAACTACCCAAGTTATAGGTACTTGGTAGAGATATATAGGTATATATTACAGTACAACAACAACAACAATCACGACTCAAAAGGCGTCTGGAACGGCTGTTCCGCCTGCGGCGTAATACGCGCCAAATGCCTGCGCTGCCCGGTCTTCCAGTCGTGTAGCGCCGAGTGCTGCGTCACGCGGTTGTCCCAGACGACGACGGTGCCCTCTTCCCATTTGACGCGCGCCTGGAAGTCGGCGCCGTAGGCTAGGTGGTCGTAGAGGAATTTGAGGATCGCGTCGGATTCTTCCTTTTTGAGGCCGACGATGTTGCGGGTGACTGTTGGGTAGTACGGGTTATGGTTAGCGGATGCTCTGAAGTGAAAGTGGCATATAATTAAAGGGGGATGGGCACGAGAAGAACTTACATTGGGGGTTCACGTAGAGCGCTTTCTCGCCAGTCGCCGGGTGTGTTCGGACGATAGGATGCGCGTTGACAACGGGCTCTCGTCTTCTAATTCCGCCCCTTGCGCTCGAAGCATTGGCTTGCTCGATTCCGGAGTGAGTGGCCTTCAAGCCGTGCAGACGCTCCTGGAACAGCGGGCTCAAACGGTTATACGCCTCGACGGCGTTCACGAACAAGGTATCGCCACCAGTCTCAGGCTTGTCGAGGATGTAAAGGAACGTCGTTCCGGGCGGCTGCTGCTCGTACGACACGTCCGAGTGCCAGGCCACCGAGCTAACGGTATTCTCGAAGAACTCGGCGTAACCCTTGTCTCCCTCCCCGCGGTGCACGAGGTGGATCTCCGGGTGACCCTCGGGCGAGCCGGAGGTCGGGTGGATATGGTGACGGCCGAAGTAGCCGCCGAACTCGAGGGCCTTGTCGATGGACAGGTCGGCGAAGTCCTGGCCGCGGAATGCGACGACCTTCCTCTCGGCTACGTAGCGGGCGAGCTGGTCCTTGCCGGCGTCGCTTAGGGAACTTAGTTGGACGCCGCGGATCTCGGATCCGATGGTGGGCGTTAGGTCGACGATATTGGCGCTTTCAGGGAGAAGGTCGGGGTATGTGGTGTCGGCGTCTTTGCCGTGCTCGTAGTGCTCAAAGGGCTTTAGGGGCTCGTACTTTTGCTGGGGGTTCCATGTTGGCAAGTAGTTGGGGTACTATAGGAGCATTAGTATTGATCTATCTATCAATGTCGAAGGCTCAAATAACTCTAGTTTACCTTTGCGGCCTTAAGTCCTGTCTTGCCCTCCTCGGCCTCCTTATTGTACTTGTAAGGAGCAATCTCCTTATACGCACCGAAGAATCGAGTCGTCTTTAGATGCTGCGGCAGAGCCGGAGTCTCGGTAACGGTGGCAGTAGCAGAGGGAGCCATAGTTGCGAGTTTGGATATGTATCTAACTTTGGATTTCTCTATCTATGACTACCAGGAGACCAGAGAAAATCGATCATCTCTTAGGTACAGCTACCTCGAGTAAATATATATATAATTCCCACGCTTCACCATACCCATAGTATACTCAACCACACCAAGCTAGAGCTGATGTGCTCGCAAGGACAGTATCACGCAACCCATCTACCGTTCCAATAGGAAGTCTTATATCATCATGTATCCCACAGCGTCCCCATCCCATTGTTGCCCGTACCCTCCCTCATCTCGACTTATCAGATTCCGATCGGAGCTTTAGACGGTTCTGTCTGGCTGGGGGAATTCGACCCCGCGCTCGCAGGGACACGCATGATGTTGCTATCGCCGAGTTCGATCACGTCATTTCGTCCGGCTGTTTTGCAATCTTGCAATCTCCCCCCCTCCTTCTCTCTCTCGCCTCCCCTAAACTTATCCTTGCTTTGCCACGCCTTGCCTTGCCTTGGCCACCAAAGATATACATATACCTACATACATAGCAGCCAACCTGGAGTCGATCCCGTGACGTGACCGATACGCGACTCCCCCCTCCCTGCACTAATCAGATTAACCAAGACATAATATTGCCAAAATCAATGTGTAACGCGATCTCGTCTCGCTTAGCAGACCTATTGTTCGGTTGGTTAGTGCCTATATATCCTTACTCTACGGCGAGGAGTATCCGTCTGGGCGGAGGAAGACGTCATTTCAAGGAGTATTGTGATAGGGTGTAGTCTTGCGGCCAACTAGCCAGTCGTCGACCACTCTTACAAGAAGCGAGCTCGGGTTCGGATCCAGATATGTCCCCGCCATCGGTACGAGTTCCGAAGTCCGTCGGAAACAGCCGGGGGTTCCCGGGAGAGTGGTAGCGGTAGTGGTAGTGGTAGCGGGAATATTTCACGTGCGGGGAGATGACGGGGATGATGAGTTTGCTTATTATAAGTAATGCCTCGAGAATAAGGAGTTCTGCATCAAACATCCTCGAATTGTTTAATAAAATATTTATATCTATCTATCTTAATAGTCTGTCTAGGCACCTAGACAATTTAGAAATAGGTAGATAGCTATTAACACTTGCCCTTTTACATGATGCCTTTATACTAGTATTTATGCTCATCTCATCACCATCTTCAAGTTTTAATCTTGTCTTAGTGGCGCTTATATACAAGGAGGAGCAAACATATTTAAGTACAACTGCAATTCAAATGCATTCTTCTATTTTACAATAACCCATCGTCTCGGAATAGCCGAGCGCTTATATTTAGCTAACGATCGGGTGCGGCACAGCTCATCCTTATTCAGATCTTCTGGTTTAATAAGGACTTGATGCTGGATGCCCAATGCATAGGGCTGAAGAAGAATGAGACCACCTTCCTAATCATCGCGCGCTGGGGCGAATCCGATGAAGAGGATGAGGTAGATGATTGGTTATTTATTAAAGACTAGCGGTATACTATACCCATGAAGATGTCTAGCGGCGGGGTCCTCATGGGTTTGCCCCTGGCCAGATAGCTGTCAGACAGGTCCAGATAGATGATTGCTTATACGGATACTGCATAGGCTATGGGAGTCGCGAATTCAACGTCCAAACAAACCATCGCGAGTCTCAATTTATCTTATGTCTTCCCCTATTTACCTAGAATGTGCCACGTTGAATACCGCTAGGTAAGACCGGTAGATAATTCTCAGAAGTTACTTAACTACAACAACATACCCCAGACCCCATCTACGGCGATCTTGAAATGGCAAACGACAGGATCTCGCGCAGTAAATACGAGTCTCTTGGAGGGCGGCCATCCACACCCAAGTTCAGCTCTCATGATGGGATAGACATGGGCACTTATCCTTCAGGTAATGAGAGAGGGGGAGAGAAGTTGCCTGAGAACTATTTACCATCAGAAGTTACAAACACTCGTCCACATCATGTTTTCCGATTTTGGCCGTGGGAGATTGGATCGATATTTGTTGCAATCGGTTCGATAGCGGCTACTTACTCGATCTTATCCCACTTCGACGGACATCAGGTACCAGAGTGGCCATTTAGTATTAATCTGAACACTCTGATCGCTTTGATCTCTACCGTTATGCGAGCAGCAATGCTTGTAGGCGTCGCCGAAGTCATCAGCCAGACAAAATGGACCTGGTTCTCTCGACCACGACCGCTAAGCCACCTACAGTATTTCGACGACGCAAGCCGTTCTATATTCGGTTCCCTAAGCCTACTATTTATCGCACCCGGAAGCACGCTAGGCATAGTCGGCGCTCTTATTACCATCCTATCTCTCGGGATAGGTCCGTTCACGCAGCAAACCGTCAAGTCTGTCGCATGTATTCGAACACATACCGAATTAAATGCGTCATTACCCGTAGCCCAATACCTTCCCGGGAACGAAACTTATTATAGAACCTCGCCTGGACGTTGGGAATTGTCAATCGACACAAAGGGAGCGCTAGTTAATGGAGTCGTCAACCCAATGGGCAATGATACCGCTATTGCACCGACCTGCCCTACTGGAAATGCACCTTCACAAGCTACAACGGTATTACGCACGCTTCTATAGGATTATGTAGCTCGTGCATCGATACCACTTCGTTGATTGAGAGAATAGCAACCAACAGGACCGGCGGGTACGATAATTATACTTTGCCTACTACCGGTATTTGGGTGAGCCCGAATACGGATCAGGCGTATCTGAACGTGGACAGTGGCATGCTCCAATGGGCATCATCCCTTTTCACTCCCGAATTCGAGTCAGTATGTCTTGAAAGTCTACTTAACGTGACCGTCTTAGCGCTCACGAAAGCGACGTGTTCGAAAGACGGGGGCAAACTCGATTGTCCTATTACCCAAGGCTATAGCGGACCAACAGGCATCGTAGCAACCTCGTGCACTCTCTACCCGTGTCTAAAGAATTACGATGCCACCATGACGAAAGGTGTACTATCGGAGAAGATCGTCTCGACGAAGCCCGCACGCATCAACAGGGTCGAGGCGAATATAGCCCAAGGGGAGATTCATACCACCATGAATTGGACCGCGCTTCAAAGTCCGTGTTTCATTGATGGCCAGTCGTATGATTTATCTAATTTCTCGATCGTCCCCGAAAAAGAAGAGAGGGTATTCACGGGTATCAATATAGATGGGACGAATTATACCGCACCAGATGACTGCATGTACAAGATGAGCTATCCGTACTGGTCAGCTCTGAACAAGTTCACGAGCCAAGACTTGTTCGAGGGCATATGCACGTACAACAGCCGACAGGGTCAAGCCGTATCGTGCGATTCAAAGTGGTGGCTTTCCAGCTTTTATAGAAATAGCGAGGCAAGCTTCGAAACGCTAAACATGGCCTTCGACCAGTTTTCCACAGCAGTTACCAATAAGTTCCGTACGACAGGCTCGGATATCTATGATTGGGGAACCCAAAAGACGGTAACAGGGTTGGTTAACGAGATGACGGTGTGCACCCAGTTCCAGTGGCAATGGCTCTTGATGCCGACGATCTTGATCGCTGCTACGGTTGCGATCTTAATTTCTATGATATCACAAAACCTACGGGACCAGAAGCAGCCGGTGTGGAAATCATCCTTACTGCCGTTATTGTACTATGGGTTCGGACAGCGAGCATACCAAGAGGATCCAAGTAGACCTGTTATGGATCTTTCAGAGATGAGAAAAGCGGCAGGAGAAACGAAAACTAAATTTCGAAATGGTGGCAGGGCAGGTTTCGTAGACATTACTCCGAGTATAGACGAGTTAGTTATGCAAAGGGGAAGAAATGTTGAAGTCGACTCGCTTTACGGGGGTCGATAGTTGAAGATATCAAATATCTTTGTACCTTGTAGATTAAAAATAAAATAAATGAAGCGTAATGAATTTTATAAATCATATTAATGTTTATTCTGATATATCACTTAGTTGCATGTCCTGATTACTACTTAACTACCGTTTAAAAGTATGTATTATACTCTTGCTAGTGGCGATACGATAACCCACATATCCCCTGCTTATCAATCGAGGGGCAATACATGTTTAAACCACATTTTTCCTTATCCAAAACCCCCACCATCACTTAAAAGTTACCATCTACATCTCACCATAGACATCACCATAGACATAGGCATACAACCGAATAAATCGCCAACATGTCGATGGATATAGATGTAGATGTTCCTATTTCTATAGCGCCTCATCAAGGGTTAGAAAATGCTCCAATTACTGCTACCATCTTTTGTTGCGACTGCGGTGCTCCTATAGACGGTACAACGGCTATCGACGCCAAATGTTACGACTGCTTCAAACTCACAAAAGATATCTCACAAGGCATTCAGCGCGAAGCCACCTTACATTTCTGCCGAGACTGCGATCGATGGCTTCAACCACCGTCTAGCTGGGTAACAGCACCGCATGAATCTCGCGAACTTCTAGCCCTCTGTCTAAAGAAACTAAGTCTTAACCGAACGAGGATAATCGATGCCAGCTTCATATGGACAGAACCGCACTCGAGACGAGTAAGGGTTAAGCTTGTGGTTCAAGCTGCCGTAGCAGATGATCGAGTTATGCAACAAGCCTTGGAGGTGATGTATGTTGTCGCATATCAGCAGTGCCCAGAGTGCGCCAAGTCATATACAGCCAACGTTTGGCGAGCAAGCGTACAAGTGCGCCAGAAGGTGTTGCATAAGCGAACATTCCTCTACCTCGAGCAGCTTATCTTAAAGCACGGCGCCCATCGTGAAACTATCAACATTAAAGAAGCCAGAGACGGTATCGATTTCTTCTTCGCGGCAAGAAATCAAGCCGAGAAATTTGTCGACTTCTTAAACTCCGTCGTACCCGTCCGAGTCAAGAAATCTCAGGAGCTCATCTCACAAGATTCCCACACTGCGAAGAAATCATACAAATTTACCTTCTCCGTCGAGTTAATACCCATCTGCAAAGATGACTTAGTTGCGTTACCTATCCCCCTCGCCAAGCAGATCGGCAACATCTCTCCGCTAGCTATATGCCATCGCATCGGCACCTCTATCAACTTGCTCGACCCTAACACTCTCCAAACCGCCGACATTAGCGCGCCCGTATTCTGGCGCACCCCCTTCCCCGCGCTGGCAGATTCTCAGGATCTAGTCGAGTTCATTGTAATGGACTGCGAGCCGATCGGGCCGACGCGCGGGAAATGGATCCTCGCCGAGACGCAGCTGGCGCGGGCCTCGGATCTTGGCGTCAATGACAAGACGTACTTCGCGCGTACACATCTCGGCGGGCTCCTGCACGCCGGCGACTCAGTCCTAGGGTACATGCTCACCGGAACCAACTTCAATAACCCGCAGTTAGAGGCGCTTGAGGAATCGAACGTATACGCGTCGCGCATCCCCGACGTAGTCGTCGTCAAGAAACACTACCCGAACCGCCGGCGTAACCGCAAGCGTGTCTGGAAGGTCCGCCGTATGGCTAAGGACGAGGGTGAGCTATTGCCGCGCAAGACCGATCAAGAGCGACAGGATCGTGAATTCGAGCAGTTCTTGCGGGATATCGAAGAAGACGAGGAGTTTAGACAGGGCGTGCAGCTGTATAAGCAGCCGGGACAGAAGAAGCAAGCTGATGAGATGAGTGTAACGACGACGGCGGAGGATGGCGACGGAGATGATGATGTGCCGAGGGTCGATATGAATGAGTTGCTGGAGGACTTTGATGAGCTTACTATGGAGGATCAGCAGTAGAGGAGGAGTGAGGATTGTTTATTCATTCGGTGTTGGGGGGATCGGAAAATAGAGATATGAGTTCGGTAGATGAATCCAGGGGCTGATGGCTTTTGGCTTCTTACATACAGTACGGGATCTCATCTCACTTTTGGAGTTTGTTACTCCAAGTGAGATGGTCTAAATCCAGATATGAATAAAATAAAATGAAACCAAGTTTAAGATGTTACATTAATGTTTTCAGGAAGTAAACTGTATCCTAGAAAATCTTTATTATATAGGACGTTCTCCCATACATTTATTTATTTATCACTCGCTGAAATGTTCGCTTTATTCTCTATCAACCTTAATAGAAATAAGCAACGACAAATAAGTCAGCCTAAATAATTACGAACTCACCGGTTTTATCTCTTTCCTTCAAAAGTCAACGAGATTAGTATAAAATGGCGTAGATCAACTGAGTGTTATTATATTGCTCAATTAGGCCCGTGGATTAATGTCTTTAATATTTTGATATAACCATTATTCTTAAAAGAAGCTTTTCTTTCATCCAGTATAACTATACGTAAATATACGTAAATAACAAATCCTATTCACTTATATCGCTACATCAGAATTCCTAGGCCAAACATAGCCGTAAACATTGTATGGCTTTGTTGTTCCTAATACATTAAGCAGCTAGTTTCCCCTTCAACGATATTTTCTCTTACTCTCTACGTATATCTATAGTTAGTAATACCAAGTATGAGTGAAGCGGTCAGTTTCCAAGACCTCAGTATATTATACCCAGCGGAAACACCGACGCTATAATTACGCTTAAACTGGCGACTATACCGTTCTATTGACCTTATAATCCCTCAACACAAACAATCTAGGTAGCGTTCCTATACAATCAATCACAATAAGCGAGGGGACTAAAAACTGGTTCAACTCAATTTGTATAATTGACCAAGTTTAACACTCCTACACACATACATACATACACATCGTCCTTACTATTTAACACTAATCACGTCACATCTCAAAAAGTACCAAAACTTCAGTGCGGGGAGAAAGATTTCTCTATTAGTGCGTTTTCCGATTAGAAGGACTTATAGCTGCCAAAGTGCTAGCATAGCAACGAGCGGTGATGCAAGGACATCATCGTCATTCTCTCCATATCCGTGTTAGTGAAAGGGAGGGTTTGACTGACAGGCTAAGCCCACAGACATAATTTCTCCTATTCGGTCCTATCTACATCGCCGTGAAAAACCTCACTCGTACTAGCAGAAAAGAGAAGGCAGTACACGATCCACGCGTTTTAGGTATGCCGTACGCAATTCGTTATTTCCAGATTGATTGTTTGGTCTGTAGTTTGTAGTATAGAGGTTTTCTCTCATATCTAGTCGCCCGTAGTTGGGAAACCTTTTCCAAACCCTTCATTCCGGCAACGCCCCGAGGTTCCATTATCCGGCAAGTTCGATGTCATATATGAAAAAGTCATGATCCATCAAGTACCAGACCCGTACAATAAATTCCATAGACGTCTTTGCTGGATATAGTTTGGAACAACAACAGGGCTGAAATAGAGACCTGACGATGATCACAAGAGCTTTAAACGAACTACTTCATTATTACTTTATTCGTAGCGAGTCTGAAACCCGGGGTCGCGGCATCACAATGCGAAAGGGCCACAGGAGTTTCTGTCATATGAGAAGTGCGCACCAGAAGAGATGCATAGAAAAGTTTAGTTGTACACACTGCCGTCCAGGGATACACTGATTATCCGCACGGCTGCGACGAATGGATGAAATTTGCAACACTGCGTTGCAATCAAATATACGAAGAGACATATTGAGTGGGTGCTGCTGGTGGATTGAGTCTGATCAAATCTAAGGGGGGCAGCTGTTAAACGGAAAAGGTTGTACTTTATTCGATCATTTGACTCTGGAGAGATAGTTACGACTATGCCGCCGGGGTAGTCGGGGTGTGTCTACTCCAGTTCTCAGTTCGGGGTCTATAACTTCCACGTCCGCTCCGAGTGGATGGACGGCCGGGGGAATGTGATGAGGCGTGATCTCCGGCGTGGTCGGGATGTTCTCTTCCTCCGCGCTGCCCACCGCGGCCTGATAAACGACGAGGGGTTCCTCGAGGCCCAGATCGACGCGGGTTGCTGGTGGACCGGTTGTTAACAAAAGGCACTAGAACGGTCTTTGCTTCCGACATGAATGGTGTAGAAATTCTAATCACGCTCTTGCCATTTGATACTTCTGGCAGGAATCTCAAAGCTTCGGCACCTGTTGGATCAACTCGTAGTTTAGCGGGTGTAGGATCGAAGTTTGGTTCGACAGCTTGCCATAGTGCATCCGGTGCTTCATTGGGGAGTCGGACCGCCGGGAGCGAGCCCATCTCTTGCTCACCAAAACATTCCTCGGCCATCTCTTTGCTAGTGTAGTCACTATCATCAGAAGCTACAGAGCTCACCGAGTGTGAGAGACCAGGTAGCGCAACAGTTGCAGGGTCATACGAATGGGTATGCTCCAGCGCGATCTTGCTCGAAGAGTCTATAGCCATAGACTTCGCTTGATGGACCGGCTTCTTACCCATTAGATTGTTAATCTTATCCTGCCAATTCTCCTGGGACGCTATCTCGTGTGGCTTTTGAGGAATTCCCGCATATCCCTTACCTCTGCTAGAGGGACGGGGAACTGTAGCTTGCGCATTGCCCCGGATAGGAGCGGCGGCAGCAGCAGCGAATGAAATCGGTGCAGGCTTAGCGGATGAGACAAGAGGACTAGGGGCTGCAGAATTGGTCGGGGGTGGTAGCTTGACTATCGGACGAGTTGGTGGTAGGGCTACATGTGGACGAGTGACGTCGCCATCAAATACCGGATGGCCATCTGCGGTTGGAGGGGGCGGGGTCGGGGACTTAGTACGCGTCTCCTCCTGAGCATCGTTATCTTGTATGAGCATGTCTCGCGCAGAGGGGAAGAATCGTGAGCTGCTTCTGGATTGGGTTGCGGGCCCAGGCACATTTCGTCCGTTGTGGCTGACAGGGGGCTGCCTACCAAACTCGGGCCGTATACCGTTTGCTTCTTTAGCAGCAGCCTCTCTAGCTGCATCTCGAGCGGCAAAATCGGAGGGCATAAGACCTTTGCGTTTGGCAATCTCTTCCGCGGACAGCTCGGGTCGAAGTCGCTCATCTCTTCCGATATGTCTGGAACCGTTGAACGAACCGCTTGGTTGAGCCTCATTGTGGTTGGTAAATGGGTTAGTTGAGCCTCGCTTTGTGTCCTGTACATTGCCCCTGGGGCGCCAGGTATCTTTGATCGGAATAGTTGGGTTCTTCTCGTGGCTATGTATGAAGTCTTGCATCTCAGCCGCTCGCCTGCGATCATCTTCCTGAACATTGGCGGTGAAAGTATTCCATGTACTGGAAAGATCTTGTTCGGGAATATTGGAAGGACGGCCTCGGGGCGGGCCGATGGGAGGTATCCGGTTACTAGAGATTGTCTCGGGGCGTGTGGGCTGCTGCGAATTAGAGCGGGGAGGACCAATCGGTGCCGGGCGATGAATACGTTCCGGTGATCGGAGCCGGGTGAGCATCAGGCAAGGTTCCTAGGTCAGGATTAAACGTGCCATTTCCAAGGGAACGGTCGTTTCCGGGAGCACCCCAGACATTGCGAGAACTGTTTTGAGAACTTCCAACCCATGAGGTAAAACGTTCCGGATGTTGTGGAGCTTCGGGCCACGATGGTGCCGATTGAGATTTCGCATTAACATTTTGCGTTGAATGCCTTCCGGTTTGAGTAGCAGGTTGTTTGGTATCACCGTTGACCTGGCGATCAGAATTGGACTTGATCTTATTTATTGTGGCAGCAGAATCAGCTGCAGCTTCGGAAGGCGCTCCAGGCTTTCCCTCTGAGGTGGAGGGAATGCTTTCCCGTCCAGCGTGTGCAGATTGTGTAGAAGATTCGGGTTTTCCTTCCTTTTTGGCGCTCTTGCGCTCAGGCGGAGGTCCCATTGCCTTGAGCTTCTCAGCAATTCGGGCCTTACGAGCCTCTTCTTCACGGGCTTCTTGTTCTAATCTACGCTTAATGGCTTGCTCACGACGCTCACGCATCACTCTCCTTTGAACGGCAAATTCGTCTTCGTTGGATGGCGCGTCCGCACTAGGTGGGTTATATTGAGGTGTAGCATATGTTTGACCGGGAGAAGGACGAGGTTGGTATGGGTGACTAGGTTGGAGCCGCGGCGTAATCTGACTATTCACCGGGGAGAAAGTTGTGGAAATAGGGCTCTCGGCCCCAATAACGGAGCCAGCTTGAGACTGAATTACCTCGGGGGGCGGCGGAATATCGTATGGCTTTCCAAGTCTATGTGCCATGATACCACTCGTGCCACTAACATTAGAAGAGCCGCGACGGCGACCAAATGGAGCTTCATGAGCACTAGTTCTGCTTGTCTGAAAAGCCGCTGATGGTTCCGCAGGACCTTGTTGGTCGTGGTGTTGGGGACGTTGGAGAACAGCTGGCTGACGTCCATGAACATCATTCCTGGATCCTCTACGATCCGTCACCGGCTCGTAACGACCGGAGTGTGAATTAAATAATTGGCTGTGGTTGCCTGTATGACCTTCTCGGAAACCGGATCGACTAAAGTCATCTGCCGCAATCTCCTTAGTTGGGGGGGAGTCGCGCTATTCGTGGTAGCATCTCGTACCGGAGGACGCGAGACCGATGTAAGGCTGGATAAATCTGGTTGCCCGGGAGGAACTTTCTCTATAGGTGGCAGACGTGCCCATGGAGATTTAGCAGGCGTTGGTGGCGCAGGTGGTTTTGCAACGAGAGTAGGCTTCTCAGGAGCGCCTTTCAGCACAAGACTCTTACCCGTAGCCAAAGTGCCAGGTCTGACTGAGGGAGACTCGGTTGCGCTCGGGGTCGGCGCAGGCGATTTTGACTTGGGCGGCACGGGAGCTGGTTCTTTGCTAAGTGTAGCGTGAACGGTACCAGGGCTTGGTACGATTTCATCGGCTGATGGTAAGGTAATCTTGGTTCCGTCGGTCCACGTAATGGTTTCGGGTTCCCACTCTTCGTCATCATCGATATCCGCCCAGTTTGACTGACCCTTGGTATCCTCCGGCCCTAAACGGCCTGCCATATGGATGCCGTATTTATGCATGAGTTCCTCATCAGATAGCTTCTTTTGCTCAGGTTGAGCGGCCGCTGTGCAAGTTAGCAGGAAGAGTTAAAAATCACCGAGTTAAGATATCTTCCTATGACTTACGTCTATTGCGATTCCAGACAGTATTTGGGTCAGGGGCGGCGGCAGGTTTGCCGTTGTTACTTAGAGTCTTAGTAGAACCACCTAAGCTGCTACCGGATTTGGCAACAAGCTTCAGACGCGAAGCAGAGGCACTAGGAGTCGGTAGGGGCGTAGTGGAGGCGGAGTTGACAGCAGAATCGGGACGGGAGGTCGAATTCGTAGTAGATTTAGAGGCCAGAAAAGTGCGATTTACAGAAACCGACTTGAAGCTCTGGGGCTTCTTGAGACTTGAAGATGTACGCGCATGGTTTTTGTCACCGAGGCGTGCCTTTGATGTTTCCGTATCCGAACCACCGCTCACACTAACTTCAGCTGAGTTCACTAATTCGTCGACAATTTCTGCGATCTGCTTATGCTCGACGTCGGAGGAAACACCGTTTAGTGTAGCACTCGAATGGCTGGCATCCTGAGTGTCGTTGCTTGCAACAGCTGACTGAGCCTATAGTAGGATGCACGTGAGTAGATGAGTTGCGACAACGGCGCAGTTTAATAATCGCATAATCTTAGCAGGTAAGGGAGGAGATGGTAACAGGAAGGAGAAGAAAAGGAAGAGGGTAGGAAAAGGTATGAATCGGATTATGAATCGGATCACGAAGGGAGGGCGACACGGCTGTATACTTACGAGGGTGGGTTCAGTTAGAGATGCATCCGGCTTATTGAGGGTTGGCTCAGTCGCCATCATCCAACTCGAGATGTCGTGGAACGTAAATGTTTGCGTCGCGATCGAAGGGTAACAGTTGCGTTGCGCTTTTCGATCGAAGAAGATGGGTTGAATTAATGAGGCTGACAGATAAGTTTGAGGTGGTCAGTTCGAGGGTTTCGTACTTGGCAAATGGCGGGTTGAGAAATCGGGGTCAAGTTTGTTTAAGTCAGTTACTCACTTCGGTACCGGCTATGAAGGAAAAAAGAAGAGGTAATGTTTAATTCGTCGCGTTCGCAATAGACGCGATAAGTAAGTTTAATACAAAACCTCACTCTCTATTCGGGGATGGTGAGAGCGTATTATATTGCAATACCTCGGAGTACAGGTGGGTTGTTGCAGGTTGAAGGTTCAGGATGTCCTAACGACCTTTCAGCGTCGTGTTGTCAAAGTTTACAAGATCCCGAGCTTTTGGGGCTTGCGCAGAAAATAGTGGAGACGGTACGAGGAATTGGAAGACTGCCAGAACATTTGAACGCGGCTGGGAAAATGGAAAATGGAAAACGGAAATAGGAAAGTACCAGTACCTAGCGAGGCCTGCCAGGTGACGGTGTAACTGGTGAAAGTGGAGGCATGTGGCTACATACCTAAGGTACCTAGGTATATACTACCTAACCAGGTAGCACACTCGCAGTTGCCTAACACTTCCCCGACAACCGACAGAAGCCGATATGACAGCTGCAAGAGAGAAATAGAAAAATATAACTAGCTGAAATACGTACCTACTCTTATGCAAATATAGAATTGTCTGGGGAGTTGCTGGTATGAGGGTTGAAGTATCCGTAAGGAAATAAATATAAGGTAAAGTTGAAAAGGGAAAAGTAACAACTAGAATTATATTGATGACAGGAGGCAAATCGAGTAGTCACTTGAGATTATATGACTGTTGCCGAGGAGATTCAAACACCCATCACATTCTACGCTGTATAGGTAGTACTTATGTGCCTAACATAGAGTCATAATGGATCATGATTACAAACAAAATAGTGCAATGTTTAAAAAGAGGATGTATAAGCATAACTAAGTATAGTTTATCAAACTCTTTATAACTTCGTATACCAGTAGAATAGAGGTCACATAGGAGCAAAATAGGAAATTGTAGAATTCTTTTAGTGAGACTAAGCTCAGTTCTGTTCTAGTACACGATGGCTAGTCATACTCGGTACCATCTATCTTATGTACAAGTTGATTGACTCTACCCCCCGTTTTACTCAGTAACTCAATACCGAACTTGCTTAATGGGCATTGTTCTTGTGGTGACCTATGATAAGTTAGTATATGCTATAACTACATCTTACGTCTTACGAGGAGCCATTAGAACACTTACGTAGGTGGTAGTAGTAGGTCATGGGGTATCCAAGGAGGAGAAGGAAACCAATCGCGTGGATGATAGCTATAAGAACCCGTCAGTACGAATAGCACTCTACACCCAGGCAGCAACTGTGGAACGGCTATAGAACGTACGCTTGGCAGTAGGGTTCTTGCCAAAGTGCTTGGCCTGGTATCGTCCGAGAAGACCGGTGGCCTGGATCTCGGGGGCAGGTCCTCGGGGGAGTTTCTCGTAGAAGCTGACGACACGCTTCATACGAAGAGCATCAGGAGCAGTGCCGATAGCCTAAAAATATCCGTCAGTTAGCGATCCCCAAACTTTTGAATTTTGCGATATCCATTCCCAAGACTATCCAAATATCACGACAACCCCGAAATTAAGCCCTCCTCAACCGCACCATGTTGAAGTCTAGAATCGCAATAGAACGGGAGATCGGATAGCACCATGCGTAGGAGATTAATACATACATTCGGCGAAGCAACCTGAAGCAACTCAGTCAGTAGAGACACTTAAATATCCACAGAGCGGGACAAACCTTAGGAGGGATAAGGGTCGAAAGGGCCCGGCGAGTGACGAAGCTCATGATGGCGGCTGTAATCGCGAGGAGGGAAAAAGAAGGTAGAATAAAACCGAAAAGATCACAGAGGAGAATCAACTGTGTCAAGGATTGACGCAATTGGTAGTCTGCGATGCGATGCGATACTGGCGTAATTCGACAAAGGATTTAAGCTCAAAAAGCGAAAGTCGTCAATTGACGAAACGACGGATGGAAAAGACCTCGTCCAGTTACAATTTCACGTGGCCCGTGCACAGCCTTCCCATCCCATGTACACACACTAGCGCGGTAAACCTGCCGCCCCGATACCGACCCTCGACCAATCAAATCCCTCGCAGCATGATTATCTCAACCTCGAACTCTTAAATCGCCTCAATACAAGAATTTAATCCAGCTATCCAAAGCCTACTTAGGTACAACAGCCCGCCCTTTCCTGGCATTGTCCGGTAGTCACACCTAAGTCGCCCTCGCAGCTGCCGGACTCTCCCAAAAAAACAAAACCCAAAAAACAAAACACAACCACAACCACAACACAAACAACATGGCATCTCTCAGAACCCAAGCAGCGGCCGCCACCATGCTTCGAAGCGCGAGATTGGTTCCGAATAGGCAGGCTTTGGCCATGGCGCAGCGACGCTTTAAGACCGACGACTCGAGAACTTCTCTTGCCGAGACGACCGAACAAGCCGCCATTCCAGAGGAGAAGCCGCATAATGCTCCCGACTACGGTGTACATATTGACCGAGCTACGTCGTACGTTCTTCAGTGCCAATTCGTATTATATCGCTAGAAGTACGAGAGCATAGCCAATGCTAATTGGGATACATATAGAACATTCACACCTGTGCCGAAGCGAGTAATGGATGGTAGCGAAGACCATAGCGTTCTCCCTGCTGCTGTACTCTCTGGCGCACCTGTGGAACTACAGGCTAGAACCGTCCGGTAGGAAATGCCACTTATTCTATTTACAGGCAGCCTGTCTAATTTCGCATATAGCATCTACCAACCCTCTAAACCCGCCACGCAATCAGGAAATTGGGGTAGCCACCATTGGAGAATGGATTGGGACGTCCTAGCCAAGGGACACCGATGGGAGAACCCTCTAATGGGCTGGCAATCATCCGCCGATTTTATGCAAGGCACTAAGCTCGAATTCAAGAGCAAGGAAGACGCCATTGCTTTTGCCGAGAAACAGGGTTACGAGTATTTCGTACAAGAACCCAACGTTCGAGCTTTTACGCCGAAGGCTTATGCCAATAACTTCTTGTATACACCCAAGAAGCTAAAGCTCGTTCGAGCGAAATAGACGGCAAGAGATTAGTCTGGGAAAGTGACCATGGTTTTGTACATATATTTATAAAAATAGTATCTCGAGTATTCCTGGCCATAATGCCATAAGACAGCCGTAATTTCCATGATGCTTCCCTGTTTCCCTAAAAGCTCTATTGTGGATCATGCCTTGATGTGATCATAAGAGCCCTTTATATGTCTAGGTATAGACCTCCCTCGAGTACTATCAACCTAGAACCTTAAACGCCTAAAAAGTATTGTTTGCTCAGAGCCCATGAGCCTACAACTCCGGATACCGCCCATAATTGAATAACGCCTAAAAAAGCTTAATGAACGCCTGATATAAACGCCTTCCCTACACATGCCTGATCCAGAAGTTGCTTTCATTGTAATTGCTTGGTCGAAAAAATATCGACAGCACAAAAATGATAACGCCAGTCATTTACTGGGTCATAATCATCGACTCGTGGCCATTTTCCACTCTGAACCTATCAGAGTCATCACCATCTAAGCCTAAGTCGATCCGTGAAGGAAGATCTTTCTTGCCCTCCTTGCGGACCATTTCTTCACTCCAGGCTCTCATCTGAACTAAATGACGAATAGCAGCTTCTCTCCGTTGCTTTTGACGTTCTAGGATTGCTTTGTTAACCTTATCCGCAACATTTCGTCGAAGACCTGGATGCAGAAGAGCTGACAACGTAGGATCAAGATTGTCATGATCAAACACGAGAAGGGACATCGTCTTTTCCAGATCCTCCAAGAACTGTGGCGTGCGTGGAGCCTTAGGTCCCAGTTGAGTTTGCGCAAATTCCAAGGCCGGGCCGATGTCCCCGCTTGGTCGGGATTTTCGGATTAACTCCACCAGTTGGAGCCGAAGAAGGGCGAAGTGGAGTGGTTCATCTTCGTCCAGTATCTTTCTCATTGGTTAGCTGATATAGCAAGGAAGAAACGGAATTCAAGATTTTATTGAGTAGTATGATGCTCATAGAAAAAGTGGTTGTTCCTCATCAGTGACCCGGAGGCCATATGAGTGGTGCATGTAAACTCGTGTTTTAATCACGGCAAAGTAATGCAAAAAGACAGCGTAGCGAGGAATGGTTCTTACCGAAGGATCGAGATCATTCAGAGCATGCAAAGCATTTTCAATCTCCCCTCTATGTATAAATGTCTGAATCTGCTGCCTTGCATAGATACTGGAAGAGGGCTGTTGAGGTGATAAATTCGCTTCAGTTGAAAATTTTGCAGCAGCGTTAGGATAGCCGGCAACGGTCAGGTAATCGAGTATTAAGGCATTAATATCACTTGGAACCGCGTTAGCAAAGCAGTCTTCCATGTCTATCAAAATAATGCGTATGTAAGGAGCAAATATCAGAAAAAAAAGAAAACGGTCTCCGCATGATATTCTCAGGAGATTCCCATTGTGTTATATGTTACATCATAATAGAGCTCGAGACAAGTAGATTGGAAAAAGGATCATGGATTGCCATACCTCTTGGGGGTTTTAAGTTCCTCGACCTGCCGCATAAAAGGATGCTTCATTGATTTTGTCGTTGACGCTGACGAAGTCTAATTCGCGCAATATTAGTACCTATATAATAGCTATGAATGTTGACCTTCGCAGCAATTTAACATACCATTTTGCGATCTAAGATCTCTGAGATATACCTTGCGTGACGAAGATGGCTCTCGAGTAGCAGGTCGCTTGATGGCAATGACATGCCCTGTTGCGCCCACCCAGTCGCAGCTTGTATTGAAAATTAAAATAGTACAATTAAATCACGATGCGGAGTTTAAAAGAAGGCGCCCTGAAGGATATTCAGGAATTTCCGCCAAGAGGCTGAGCTTGTTGTTGATCGGGTGGTACATTGGAAGTGAAGAATGAAAAGTTAAGAATAGAAGTCAAGGATTTTAGAATGCGGGTAGGGACAGAAAATCCACGTGCAAAAATGAGAAAGGTTGGAACCTTCCATCTTTGTCTGCAATCTCGGCCGACGGGTCCCGACTTGTGGCTTGCGTATAAAAAGCCCTGATCAAATGCAGGTCCCGCCGTTTCATATGTGTCTACATAGGTACATAGGTACATAATTACTTATGATAGTTTTGTGGCTTTCGTCCTGTCATCAACACATGTCCCAAGCTCCAAAATGACTTGCTAAATTCGAACAGTCCACAACCCACACAGTTTCTTCTTAATCATGGTTGGTTTTACGAAGATCCTCCTTTTTCTTCTTATTGTTTTTATAAATGTATTTTCGATTTTGTTCACTTCTTTTCACAGAGGGCTTTTATAAGCTCTATTAATATACTTTCAACTTTGAAATACCCAGCTACCTATTAATTTATCTGGTGAAGCACTTCAATATTCACCACGTCTTATTCACTTATCTATAACCCTGTCATCTGCCTAGAACACACCTGACACTAAGTGGGCACGCGACATCAGTCGCTTCACTTCTTGACTTTCTAGACTCTATATTACGATCTTAGGCTGTATAAGAGCATCGCCTATTTCATGTCTTTTCTTATATGATATTTAGATCAAGCAGATAGCCATGAATACCGGAATTGGGTCGCCGGCCATCGTGGCTGACAACAACTCTGATACAATCGCTAAGAGAGTCCACTATAGTCCTCCATGGGCCGATTTGAGCATCATTGGCATTGCGGGCAGTTCTGGATCTGGGAAGTCTACTTTATCACACGCCATCGTCAGTAAACTGAATCTGCCATGGGTTGTCATCTTGTCAATGGTAAGTATAATTAGAGAAAGGGGGTAATTTCTTATCTTACGAATCATAGGACTCTTACTACAAGCCGTTGGGCCCCGAAGCTTCTAAGAAAGCCTTCCGCAACGAGTATGATTTTGACTCTCCAGAGGTTAGATCCCGGTATCCAGAGCCCTGCTATCATCGTATTAATACAGACTTTGTAGGCGATAGACTTTGATGCCTTGGTTCAGACCCTCCAGGACCTCAAAGCAGGGTGAGTATGTTGTAGATTTTGCAATAGTGCTTTCGTAAACATATGCACTAATATGCCTCTATTCAGTAAACGTGCCGAGATACCAATATACTCCTTTGAGAAGCATCAGCGTCTAAAAGAGACAACCACCATATACTCCCCGCATGTGCTTGTTCTAGAGGGGATCTTTGCCTTGTATGATCAGAGGGTGATGGATCTCATGGACATGAGAGTATGTATCCCCTATAATTAGATATAATACGGGATACGGTTCTAATTTACTAGTAGGTCTATTGTGAAGCAGATGCGGACACATGTCTCTCAAGGAGAAGTAAGTATATCGTATAAGGGCTAGAATCAAATAAGCAAGGTCTAACTTTTATAGTCCTGCGAGATGTTAGAGACCGAGGTCGTACGGTAGAAGGCTGTATCAAGCAGTGGTTTAGCTTTGTAAAGCCGAATTATGAAAAGGTAAGCCGTCTAGACCTTGCCGTAGTGCATATCTAACCTTCCCTTCAGTATGTCCTACCACAAAGGAACAATGCTGGTAAGTGGGCATATACTAGAATCTCTATGTCTTTTATCATTCATCATCTAGCCCGCTCTCCTGGCTGATTCCCCTATTCCAGACATCATCGTGCCACGTGGAATAGAGAATCGAGTTGCAATGGGTAAGTCATAGTCATTTTCCCACGAGAAACATACACTCATTAGCGCAGCTATGGTAACCCAGTATATCGAAAGAAAACTACTGGAAAAGTCAACGCGTCATCGAGCTGCTCTAAGAAGTCTAGAGGCCGGGTCTGAAAACGAGCCTCTTTCCGACCGAGCCATCGTTCTTAAGGAAACTCCGCAACTCAAAGCTATGAATACCATAGTTCAGGACATTGATACATCGAGCGAGGATTTCATATTTTATTTCGATAGGGTTTCATGCCTGCTCATCGAAGAGTATGTGTTCTATTTAAGTTCTGCCGTTGCTGCTTACTCACAATCATAGGGCCCTGAATAATGCTCACTTCAAAGAATTGGCCGTCGAAACCCCCTCTGGTAGACTATATAATGGTCTGACTCCTAAGGGCGAAGTCAGCGCAGTCATCGTGCTTCGCGGAGGCGCTGCCTTCGAGGGCGGGTTGAGGAGAGTAATTCCAGATGGTCGTACGGGACGGCTCCTCATCCAGTCCAACGTCCGTACTGGAGAACCCGAACTTCATTACCTGAAACTTCCCAAGGACATTAACACGCATGACACCGTGTTACTTTTAGATGCCCAGATGTCTAGCGGAGGCTCTGCGCTGATGGCCGTCCAAGTCCTCGTAGACCACGGAGTCCCGCAAGATCGTATCGTCTTTGCAACATACTCGGCCGGCTACGTAGGTGTTTATCGTCTGACGAAGGTGTTCCCAGAAGTCACCGTTGTCATCGGTAACATGGTCGCCGACTTCCAAGATAGGTGGGTTGAGAAGAGATACTTTCGCTGCTGAGACATGTACGCGTAAGCCTTAATACATGAACCTCGACGGAATTCGAGGACACCTCAATCGCTGTGAGTGTCAGATTATAAGTCTCATTCATATTATACCAGTTGCGTATAAGAGGTTACATACCTCCTATATATATCTCAGATACCATCTTATATTTTAAAATGGTATTGGAGATCGGCAAATTTAATACGCATCATTGATCAGTCGTCCAATCTGAATGTGCTCTATACGATATTCTGCGGGGATCCCACCTTTGAATTTGTCAGCCGTCGGCTATGAAGGATCATGAGACAACATCACTCTTCCTCATCTGGTATTAGATGCATGTTCGGTCGTAGTCGTGAAAGCGAGCGTAATTTTCTGATAATAACAATAGTAGCAAGTAATTATCTATATGATATCTCATCTTACAACTTCATATTGCTTAAATAACCCCTATTTTATCTAAAATGGCCAATAGAAAGCCAGTCTTAGTTTTCAGTCCCGGAGCGTGGCACACGCCCGAATACTTCCAGCCAACGACATCGCGCCTCATAGAGGCGGGTTTCACCTGCGACGCTGTATCCCTGCCGAGCGTCGGTGCGGAACTAAAATCGCCAGAATTCCCATCGATACCCCAGAGCTTCGATGCAGACGTCACAGCTATACGCGAGACAATCCTCGAGCACCTAGATGCTGGCTGTGATGTCGTGCTTATAGCACATAGCTACAGCGGTGTCGTCGGTAGCGAAGCCGTCGCAGAATTAGACACCACATCCCGGACCCGCGCCGGGGAGACCACCGCCGTCATACACCTCATCTACGTATCGGCTCTTGTAGTCGACGTCGGATCACAGTTATGGCCGACCGGGAGTCCAGCGTTTCCGGATCAGGTCAGAGTGGAGGGGGACTTGGTGTACCGCGTGCCGGAGAAACTAGACGAGGTCTTCTATGGGCGGTGTACTCCGGCGCAGCGGGAGTTACTCGTGCGATGTCAGCGGAGCCATGCTCGGGGTGCTTTTACGAGTCCTACGACGCATGCGGCATGGCGGGTTATCCCGACTACGTATGTTAAGGCCAGAGAAGACCCGCTAGCGGACTTTTTGGCAAAACCCCAGGCGGGGCATAGATTTGAGGAAGTTGTTGAGGTGGGAGGGGGGCATTTTCCGTTTGTGACGGCTGCGGAGGAGGTGGTGGGGGTTATACAAAGAGTTGTCGAGAAAAGTACGAGGATCGTGTAGTATGTTTACGCCAAGGCGATTTTCTCTTCTCACTTATTTGCCCTTAGTATAACAACTTATAGTAGTTATATCCTATACAACAATGTAGATTAACAACCTTATTACATAACAGACATAGGAATGCATTACTCTTGTAAGTGAGCTGCCTAGCAAAGAATCATCCCCGACTTTCTACCTAAGACGAAGACTTCGGAGAAATTTATTGGCATATCTAATAAGGACAAGCAGATAGATGCAAAGCCTTGGTCGTTTCATTATATTTCATAAAATCGTTACTATTCCCGAGGTTAGTTCTAAGTTATTAGATAGCTTCGCGGAGATGGACACCGGAACTTCCCAAAATGGCATCTCCGTCATACATCTCCGACCTCACTCAGACCGCTGCATTTGGTGACTGCAGTTCTCCTTAAGAGGAATGATCGAATGCAAGAACTTGATTTCATATGTAGCGAATCTGCAGATATAGACAACTACAGAATAGACGTTCCCGTTGAAGTTTCAAAATGTCACTGCTTCTCCGCAGCCGAGTCGTCTCATTTGGCGGACGTCGTGCCTTTGCATCTTTTGCTCAGCCTAGACACCTACGACATATACCTACAGTAGTGAAACCTTCTCGCATAGAGGTTCAGAAGGGGTTCTTGATGCTCGAAATTTGGAGAAGGCAGTTGGTGCTATGCACAGAGACGGCCTCGTTGTCGTTGAGGATGTAATCTCTCACGATGCGTTAGACCACCTAAACAAGAAGATGGTGGAAGATGCGCGAGTTCTACAAGACCGAGGTGAAGATGGTCCTTTCAATTATAATACGGGGAACATACAACAAGACGCCCCTCCGGTAGCCGAGTATTTTAACCCTACTATTTTTACAAGTGAGTGTCTTTTATAATGTACCGTTCATTGTATACATATCTATAAAACTAATAACATCCAGATCCCATTGCAACTCAGATCACGACTGCGGTGCTCGGCCCCCGTCCCAAGTGGACCTTCTGCTCGGCCAACTCAGCCATGCCGGGAGGAACTCCGGCACGCCAACCAGTACACTCCGACGCAGACTTCCAACATCCGGACCACCCATTCGCGCTGGTCGTCAACGTTCCCCTTGTCACCATGACACCGGAGAACGGCTCAACGGAGATCTGGCTCGGAACTCACAAGCACGACGCAAACGTAGACGGGCAAGAAGGCGCTCACGGTGAGAGAGCTAGTGGTCGCATACGGGACAGTCTTCTAGCCGAGCGCAAAGAGGTGTGTCCGCCATCCCAGCCCGTAATTCAGAAAGGCAGTGTTGTGATACGAGACCTGCGACTCTGGCATGCGGGCATGCCAAATCTGGCGCGCGATGTCCGCGTCATGCTTGCCATGATCCATTTCGCGCCGTGGTATAGGAATTCCATGCGTCTGGCAGTTCTCCGAGGACATCAAGCCTGTTCTGGAAAAGCTGGAGAGTGAGGGCCGCTTGGGGTTGGAGGTCCCGGTGGATTGGATAAGTAGAGAGGAAGCGCTCAGGACATACCTGAATAGGGGTTTTGGAAACAGCTATGATTTCAACCAGGCGCCTTAGGTTGTTTAGTATAGTATTATTCGTGAGTCTTCCATATCATGTCTGGACTATTTGTTAGTTAAACTAAATTGTAAGTATGGAAAAGGGGGCAATATTGGCGACTCATATTGTAATGTCTTACATGCCTCCTTGGGTTAGTCCGAGGATGATATTACTCAATTATGGATCTCAGATTATCAGCCGCTAGAGCCAAATACAGTCGATCCATGGATTTGGGATTGTTACCCTTGAATTTATCTACATGAGGTTAGCAGTCCGGTGGTCTAGGCAGAAAGAAACCAGACGCAGCAACGATACCGAAGAATATAGGGTAGGTAATTAAAACCCAACGTAAGGGAAACCCCACGCTGTCCCGATTCGTCGTCTCTCATATCCGGTGTAAGTGAGCTATCGCATTTCACCAATAGATCAATTAATACATAGCAGCTCTCACGCAGCTGTGGCAATAATGAAACCTACGCGTAGCATTTTCTCGTGGATTCTTGCCGCAGCAATCCTAGCGACCGGAACTGCGGCCGGCTCCGACTCAGCGGCGGCGCCAACGGTCGATCTCGGGTACGCGACTTACCAGGGCTACTACAACGACACGTACGACCTTAATATCTGGAAGAGGTAAGTGATTTATATATAGAATTTTATTGAATTCCAGGCTAAATTTTATTAGTATTCGTTATGCTGCAGCTCCTATTGGAAAGTTACGGTGGCAAGCGCCTCAGCCTCCCTTCTGGAACAATACACAAGTGACACCGGCGGTCAACCAGCCGCCTCTATGCCCGCAGACGGGAGCCTATGGTGTCCCCAAAGCCTACGGCTTCAACTCTGGTCTAGGTGATGAAGACTGTCTCTACCTCAATGTATACGCAGCTCCTAATGCTTCGAATCTGCCTGTCTTAGTCTGGATACGTATGTATCTCACTTCCATCTCTTGGCAAGGCGCAGTCTGCCTTATTGATGCACATAATTCTGACTCTGTCACTTAGATGGAGGTGGCGACTCTGTCTTCGGAGCGACATACGACCCGAGTGCTTGGATTAACACTAATGGCAATGGTTTCATCGCTGTCGAAATCCAGTACCGGTTGGGAGCATTCGGGTTTCTCGCTTCCGCCGAAGTCAAGGAGCGTGGTCAACTCAACGCCGGCCTTCTAGACCAGCGCTTCGCTCTGCAATGGGTTCAAGAGCACATCTCTAAGTTTGGCGGCGATCCGAACCGTGTTACTATTGGCGGGGAGTCATCAGGTGCTGGTTCGATTATACATCATGTTTTGGCCTACGGTGGTAAAGAGTCAAATCTCTTTAAGAATGTTGGTGTGCATTTTACCATAGAAGCTCAGTTTCTAGGTTACTGATTCGCATCTAGATCATCGCCGCAAGCCCATATCTTCCACCAGTATACCGGTATAACGATACCGTCCTAACGGCTCGCTATGACAAGTTCGTCGAGTTGGCCGGCTGCAGCGAGACTTCATTTAAGTTCAGCAATCACTCTTGCACATTTGATTGCTTGCTAGATGCCGATACTACTGTGTTGCAGAACGCGAGCGGTACTGTTTCTACGACTCAGGGTTATTTCGGTAGTTTTGCATTTCTACCGGTCATAGATGATGATTACATACAAGGTCGGCCATCTGTGCAGCTCTCGCAGAGAAAGGTGAATGGAAAGAGGCTCCTCGTTGGTGTATGCACGCCTTTCTGTTAGTCTCGGATATAATACTGATATAATATAGAATAACGCCAATGAAGGCGTGCCCCTGACGAACCCAGATGTTGATACCAGAAATAAATACGACAGCTTCGTCTCGAACACATTCCCTTTATTCACTCCGGAAGACGTCGCATCCCTTAATACTGTTTATAGCATCAATTCCTTACCAAGTGATGATGGCATTCTGTACGACACGCTCGGGTTTTCCGGGCCAAGTGCGTTGTATAAGTCTGGCATAGCCACGGGTATACAACAAGCCGTTTTCAACATGGCAGCCGAAACGACGTTCGACTGTCCGGCGCAGTGGATTGCCGAGGCATTCAGCACCGGCCCCCGGCACGCGTGGAAATATCAATACTCCGTTACGCCATCCTACCATGGTGCCGATCTGAATTCTTACTTCTCCATCGGCGCCACATTCCCCAGCCCGGAATTCAAACATGCAATGCAGAAGATCTTGGGGAACTTCATCATCCATGACACTCCCGTCATTTCCGTTATAGATGCAACTGGTAGCTACTCAAATGCAACGGTTCCGATTGGCCCGGGTGGAAATATTGAGTGGCCGGAATTCACTCTGGAGAATCGGGTGCAGATGAATTTAAACACTACCGGGGGGAGTGTGTCTAAAGTTACGGTACCTCCTTATCTGAATTATTACATACGAAATGGTCCTGGAATTGTGAATATCTTTAACCTCACCAATTCATACACCTGGGAGGCCGGCCGTGGTCAGCGCTGCGATTTCTGGCGTGATGTTTCCGAGAGAGTGCCGCAGTAAATACTTTAGATAGCCTTGCCTTTAGATCTAGACTTGATGACAATTTGTAGATATCTTGAGCTATTAATTTAATAACTGCTTATTGTCATGAGCCTACCTTGTGGCGATACACCGTGAGATATTACTTATATGGAAAAATCTTAGTTACCTTAATTCTGATACACAGCCCTCTATTTCGATGGAAGAGAAGACGTTGGAAATAGGCGTTTATTCGTGCGAATAAAAACACTGCATAAGCTTTCTTATTGGTTGGCGTATCGCTTTTGGTATGGGGGTGCATTTTAATATAACATCTCAGGTCCAACAAAGTATGAGACATTCGAAACAAAAGGTTCATAAGAAACTAATAATAAGCCAAACAAATAGGTGAATCAAACTACTTTGTAACCCACTAAAACAAACGAGAGGCTGATGGATATGATTTATCATGTTACTTGTAGGACTAATACCACGTGTTGGTACGTGGTCATGCTTCAGCCCAGCTAACATAGACTCAGTAACATGACAAGTCGCCATCTACCTCACATTCGCATAGCCTTAGACATAGGTACGTAGGCGTTTTAGAAGATAGAATATTTAAACCATGCTTACCCTCCCTATAAAATCTTAGATGAACTAGAATTTTTTTTTTCCTTTTTCAACTGTACATCTTACGCCAGGTCTTGGCAATACCAATAATTCTCAACATCGCATAAAAAACAACTATAAAATTAGCGACGATGCATCAGGGCGGAGTAAAAAATTGGTGGCAAAGAAATCATATAGAGGGATGGCGGTTCCCTAAAATGCCAATCAAGAGGGAATTAATCTATCGCATCTTCCGAGCCGCGTATCCCCAAGGCGCAGTAAGTACCTAAATTATACTCAGCCTCATATAAGACACCATTCGTGGTCTCGCGAATTCGTATAAACATATAATTCCGAAAACACAGGATTTCCCTCTTTTCCTCCCTACACCCCTATTATCGCATAGCGCCAGGTTACTAACCAACTATTCCATAGTTCGTCGACGACAATCTGAAGATGGTAGAGCTTCGAGACAAGGAGGAAGTCTGGCAAAACCTAAAAGCCGAGATCGACGCAGCGCGCGCCGATCTCGAGTTGCTCATCTTCAGCACACCCGAGACACACGGGATGTCGCCGAAAGACATAGGCGCGTTTAGGAACTACTATACTCTGGTGCTAGACGACGCAGAAGGATCTCTATTTAGATCGCAGAACGGGCGATATCTCGAGTTCAGATGTATGGAGGAGCTGCTCGTGCGGTACAAAATGAACTATAAGAATATGTGGAAGTTGTCGTCTTTCAGCCCGAGTTTCGCCATTCCCCCGGTTGGGGGATATAGGTATGCGGCGGATGCTTTGGAAGTGAAAGCGGGCTCCGACTTGCATTTTCTGACGATTAATTATTCGAAGTTGGGAGGAGGTGTGCGGTTCCCAGTTCCGTGAAAAAGTTGGTGCATATTGCAAGGGTTGTGTGATATAAATAGGAGTTATCGGGGGACGAGAGCACTGGTATTGATATGTTAATTGTTAATAGCTAATTGAAACCTACTTAATATAGTACGATGCTGGTATTGATACAACTCTTATTGCCAATATTATAAATAAATTACCGAAATGTTACCATACGGGTGAATAATGGGTAGTTTGGTGGGAGGAGCTGGGGTCGTAGATATAAGAATATGCAAGAGTCTAATAATGATGCAAATATTTTGTATGTTCGAATTACTGAAATATGGTAGTATCTTCAAGATGGCGCGCTGGGCTTTGGGGTCGAAGTATAACAGCGAATAGAGGTATAGTTTCCAGAGATACTTACTGCTTTATTAGGTAGTATCTACCTAGTGTCCGTGGTAGAGGCCTTAGTTAATAGAGTTGATATGTTTGAGATTATTATAGGAGTCTGGAGCGAGTTGTCCCGATGTCTGTGCCCCTCCGTTCAGGTTGGAGATTCGGGGCTAGCACTGAAGCAACAGGAGTCTAGTAAGGAGCTTCCGGGGCGTGGGCAACATCTTATAATTAAAAATATCGACTATTTTTAAGAACAAGGCGAATAATGATGCGTGATACTTCAGTAACGTTGTAGACTCAATATAACTTGTAGTTGAGTTTCATAACAAGCCCCGTGATTGTGATAAAATGTACGACACAGTGTTGGGCGCTCCCGGCCGGTAAGGAATAATTATAATGTATTGTGAGATACGCTTTGCCAATTGCGTCCCATCACAGGTTCAGCACTCATTTCGTCGTGAAATATTCTAAATTTAATTGGCGGTAAAGAAATAATACTATTGATACGATGATGACTTTGAATTCGAAGAGATATTCAGGTTAATGTAGAGATGTTGTGTCATCTGACCTTTCTTATATAGTCCAGTATATACTAGGTACCTTAGTAAATAGGGGGGGCACATCTTCGTCTATATACCGCATCTTATATTAACTGGAAGACCTTGTATAGAGTTTATAATACGCGATAGGGAACGTTGTGGTACTGTAATTATCCCGATTTCATAAATATACGAAGGTGTCACTCATTGTAACGAAGTATCGGACGCCACTTGATACAACCTACTCCTCACTGGCATTTATAATGAACCCCCCTTTTTATTAAGAGGGAGAGTAAATACGAAAGATTGCGAGGCTCTTATAAAGACTATTTTTCGATACCTGGCACCGGGCCCTGGAAAATCAACTCAGCTATAATCAGCATCCAGTGCCCATAAAGCCCCATCGACCCTTTCTGAACAATGCTACCATAATAATTGAGGCATCGAAGGTTTTAAGAGGCTGATTCCAGACCTGTCCTAGCTGATTGCTTAATCAAGAAAGAACCCTAAACTATTCAAACAAAAAACATTTCTTTTTCGACCTGAGGTTGCACGAGAAGGAAGTTGTATCTTTCCCCCCTTGTTTAGGAGGTAGTTTAAAAATGCTGCTTTACGTAGTTTGAATCATTCATGTTTCTCCCCTAAAGTATTTATAGCAAACATCGTATCTCGACATATAAAATGACCATTACCTGAGGAGTTAGGTATAAGCCAAGATATTTCAATTGATAAGTGATTTTTCATTGCGGCATATACGGGTGGCTGATAAATGTTACCTATTCCAGGTAAGTCATATAGATGGCGTTTTTTAGCTCTCAGCTTCATCGGTAAAACCCGTTATCTTGCCTTGACTTTACGACTTCGTATTGCTAATATGTTTTCGATATGAAGGTTATTGTAAATATGTATAGTAAGGCTACCTAGGGTATATCGGAGAATATTCAGCTCTTCTCGGGACTTAATAGCCTACCGCCTTTCCGAAATGCGCGCGTGTTTTGCCCGCAATCTGCAAATTTGAGCTCCTAGATAGGCAAGTAAAAGGTGGCGTGAGGTGTCCTGTAAGACATCAAACCGGTCAACCGATACGGAGTAGGTATTGTATTTTCGCGCTGCAAGGGATACACGTGTTTGGTGCTTACCCGGTGACGGAGGGCAAACAGAATACCACCCCACCTTGGTTGAATTCAGCTCTGGATAGGCGTTTGTAATCCCTATCCTACTTGTCTCGGTAGGCTTTCAGATTTGTATCGCACGACATTGGTGAGACTTGCATAAGATCTAGCGATCTGCGTAGAATGCCAGTAAGCGCCTAGTCTTGTAAGCCCCAAAATCCCAATGAACGGCATGACGCTCGATCGGGGTCTGACTTGTCTTTGATCTGTGCAACGACAGAGTGCGGTCAATATATATATTATAATGTGTTACATGCCTGCTCATTTCCATCTCGTCATGACCCGTTAATACTCATGTATCTAGATCAATACCAACTACTATATGACTATAATCGCTATGGTCGCAGCTAACTATAGCCCCGAATATCTTGCTGAGTCTAGAGTGGCATTAGCCAATGTGTTTTTCTCAATCCCAATCCCCATTGAGGTTTTAAGCACGATTTTCAGGCTATGGGTTAAGACAAGGCTGTCATCACAGCGCCGCTTAGCTTTCGACGACTACTTTATCGTCTGGGCTACAGTATGTATACCTGTCAATCAATATAGTATAGTTCGCGGATAATTCTTACACTTCTTTTAGATAACCGCTGTCGCAGTGTGTATTGCGGGGTTCGTTTGTGGTTTGTAGGATCCAAACTCTGGTCTTGAATAGGTATAATTCTGATTTGTGTTATTAAAGTAAGCTTCTGGTGGTCTTGGACACCATATAGAAGCGGTCCCTGAAGAAGACGTAGAAGATTTCCTTTTGGTAAGCTTGGAAATCCTCTTGCTTTAAAACTAACGGACAGCCTAATATTCAATAGGGCGACTATATATTCAGCCATTTTTACGACTTCGCCATTGCTAGCACCAAGCTTTCAGTGTTAACTCTATATTACCGCATCTTCGCCTCGACCAAATTTCGCATTTTAGTTATTGCCACCGCTATTTGCGTTGTCATATGGCTCATAGCAATGGAAATCATATTAGGGCTAGGGTGTCAACCTATTCAAGGTTGGTGGAATGCTACAGCTACTACAACGGCTACCTGTGTGGACAAGTTGGCTTTCACATATTCTACTAATATCCTAAACTTGATATTTGATATTTGGATATTCACTATGCCAATACCCATCATTCTTGGATTACAAGCCAGTATGGAAAAGAAGATAGGCCTCTGCTTCCTGTTCTCAATGGGTTTGGGGACGTGCGCTATCAGCGCTGCTCGTCTGTCGTTTATCATCTCGGTGAGATCTAAAGATGTTACATGTAAGATTCTGTACTCATTGTATAGAGCATTTCTATCTTACTAACATTGATTTACATTAGGGAACGAAGTTCCCTTCGGAATCCTATCCGCGTGGGAACCTTGCGGCAGTATCTTGTGCGCGAACCTACCCCTGGTTTACAAGCCTTTGGTCCGAGGTATCCAGCAGATTCGTTCAACAATAAAGAGCTCTCGGTCTCGTAGCTATGACCTTGGAGCGCGACCGTCTTCATCATACCACGACTGGACTCGAATTCATAATAGTGCTCTTAGCAATTATCCTACGTCAAAAGTCACGGCGACTAGAGGCAACTCAACAGAATTAGTCATGATTGGACGTACTGGGATTACGGTGGAACGTGATTTTAAACAAGAGATCCATCATGAATAAACGAGAGGAAATGTCCCTTATAAGTTAAGAACTAACAACATGAAGATTACCTACTGGAGCAGATTCCAAGGTTAAAAGTTGAAGCCGAGACCAATTTATTAGCTGCAACTTTGGTTTTTGCTCCAGTACCAATTACTTCCTTCCATTATGTGAAACAACCAGAATAATCATCCCTTACTCAAACGTCTCAATCCAGGACTGGATAGCCTTATTAACCGCGGTTGGATCGTCGATCATGGTCCAATGTTCAGTGTCCACATCTACCCTCGTTAACTTGTCGAAGTATTTCTCCATGCCTTCGGATAGGCTCGAGACGAGATAGATATCTTTGAGTGCATGAACGAAAAGAGTGGGCATGGTGAATCGATGACCCCCTGCTTGAGCAAGTGGCAGTTCATCCTCAAAATTGATTTTCTCTGTGCGGTACCAGCTAAGAGGACCCCTGAGACCCTTGATCTGGTACTCTGAGACGAAGAGGTCAAGATATGTACCGTTAAGGAGAGCGTTGGCTTGTAGGGAAGGTAGATTTTCGAAATTCAGGCCCTCGGTGTTAAAACCAACCTTGCCGTCAGGGGTTAGACCGCCGCGTGTCGCTATTAGCATCTGTCGGATCACCTCTTCGCTCAGAAGATGCCGGTCAAGCGATTGATCTCGTAGTTGCAGCTGATATTTGAAGGTCGGGAACTTGCCATCCTTGATCTCATCGGCAAGATCGACATATTCAGTCAACGGGGGAAAATAAGGATATGTTAACGCGAAGATCCCTTTGAAAAGCTGAGGGTAATACATGGCGAACCGCCATAGCACTTTCAAAGCCAGTCAGCATTCTTTTATTCAAGAGTCTAAATGGGACAAAAAGGAGAAAATATCCTATAACTTACAGCCAGCACCCCAGTCGTGGCCGCCGAGGATTACCTGCTCATCGGGAAGAATTTGGTCTAGTAATGCCGCAAGATCGTCAGACATGTGCTTAAGGGAGAACGCGTCCAGTTCGCTCGGTGAAGACGTCTGTCCATATCCTAACATCTCGGGAACGATGACTTGATACCCGAGCGAGGTAAATAGTGGCACTTGATATCTCCATCCGTATGGAAGATCCGGAAACCCATGCAGGAGAAGAACGCTCCCCTTAGGCTCGCCGGAGGGACGAGCTCGCAGATAGTGATAGGTGTTTTCACCGATAATAACAGAATGGCTAGAGTTGAAAGGAGCCGGGACGGATGGCACCTGAGCCGCTATGGCTGCAGGTATCGTTAAGCTTAACAAAAATGCTCGAAATGGATTCATGGCGTATATGATATCTTTAGAACTAGTTATCCACGATGTTGTGTTGGTAGTAACATTCCCATAGATATCAGTCGGTCCATAGCTTTTATATTATAGGATTTTGATGCCACGATATTGATTTCTAATTCATACCTTACAAATCTATATCCATACTGTTAATCGTTAGGGGGACGTTACTGAGGCTAACTTCGTTCTATCACCACCGGCCAAATTACTCCGAGGGTGTTCGGAGGATGTCTGCTTACAAAGTTAGATAGGTGCCTCCATTGCGGTCCAAAGTCTGACATGATTATACCAACAAGATAGAGATGTAATGATTTAAAGTAACATCATCTTAGCTCAGTCCCGATAGTCTGACTTCGATTATGAAGTTTTTAGGTGGATTGCTGATTAATGTGAAGAGAGGTACTCAATGTGAATATATTATTCCGTAGTCAAAATTTCATAATCTGAGCTTTGACTTTCGCCATTCAGCATTACTAATTCAAAACTGTGAAATACAAGATGTTAGGATCTATATGTTTACACTTTTTAATTAAGAGCATTCCCGAACTACGACCTCCTTACTGATCTAAGGTGGATATATCGAAATATTCTGAAGGTCCTAGGGTAATAAGCGACATGACCGAACCTCACGCTGGCTGTAACGGGCTTTAAATCGAACACGAATTACGATCAAAGTCTATTTTAACTAATATTTTAAATACCTGTTGATATGTCTCCTTGGAGTGTTAAACTGGTCGGGATAATTGTAGTGATTATACATATAATATTGTCGCAAACGCCCTCATCCTTGTGAGTTACCGAGAGAAAATAAGATGCTTACTTCACCTATCCAAATTCTACTACATGATTCATAATGTATAGCTTCACTTTAAATGTGGTGGTTCAAAATAAAAAACTGATGGGTTATAATGGAAGCTTGTTCGCCAAAAGTTATAGACTGAGCATCAGTGGTTTAGTGGTAAAATCCATCGTTGCCATCGATGGGCCCCGCGTTCGATTCGCGGCTGATGCACTACTTTTTATATTTTTCTTAGTCTGTTCACGTAATGTGACTGTAAAATTTTATGATTCTAGTCGTATTTCGAATAAGTGAAAGCAAGTTATATTGGTACTACTATTATTCGTTAATCTTAGAGTGAGACGAAAATCTTTTTTTACTTCCTATCGTCGCGGAAATATGTGGGTATACTCTGACAGAAGTGGGTCCATACTACTTTACGATACTACTATTAACACGGTATTGATACTATTCTTTTAAATATTCAGTTAAGTTTAAGTGGAACTTCAATAACTATTTTATGTATAACGTTAGATTGTGTACATAAAAAAATTTGTTTCTTGTGAGTTGTGAAGATTATGGATATTTACGCAACATGCTAGCCCTTAACTTGACGAGTAGGGTTGAGTTCAACTTATATCTATTCGCAATATAAAATAATCCTAAGGATGGGTATTTTAAAGATGTCTACTACTCCTATTTGTAGATCAAGCCCGCCCGTATGGCACCCCCTTGGACCGATCTGGCCTCCCATCCCTTATCCGGTTGCGCTGATATCTCTGTAAAGCCTCGTCAAACTTGAGCCCTAGCGACGTTGCTATCCGTACGTAGAATCGCCTGTTGGCTCTGGAAAATATTCCACTTGAACCCTCTCAGTTCTTACGCTCTGATCAGCACGACAGATCTGTATTGTATCGTCTTCCTTCGAGAATTGATCAATGAACAAGAAGTACTCCCGATTGAGTGCTACATCTTCGGGCGCGTTTTGTAACCACAATGCACATTCTTCTGGCGGTTTTCCGGCAAACGGAGACCGGAAATCAACATCTATCGGTGTCTTGGTGCCTTCAGGATATGCGTTTTCAAGCTTCTTAGGTGCATCCTCATAACTACCTACAAGGTGCTGTTCCCACGCAGCTTCAAAATTTCCTTTATAAGCCCGGGTGAGCGCATCGTTGAGATACTATATGTAAGTTAATTAGTGGTCATAGGTGCTTTATAGATATAAAATGTCTTATTTACATTGGCATTAATGTCGTCGACGAGCACGAAGAGCGCGTAGGGCGGTATTGGACCTGTCATTAGGATGAAGTTCGGATTGATATTAGACGGGTAGGTATGTGATTTGGCCTAGTTGATAAGTATAAGCTTTCAAGCAACTTGAATTAGTCTATGATGTGATGGAGTTAATGGTGGTTTTAATACACAGTTTCTATAATGTGCCTCCAATATAAACTACTCTACAAGATACTTGCGTACCTCTCATGTATTTATGTGTCCTTATGTGCAAGCGAAACACGGTAGATCAAAGTTAGGTTCCCAATTTGATTGGTTGAAAGTCTACACAAGAGCCTCACTTAACAACCGAAACCTTGAAATAGAAGACAAAATAACGTAAGCTAGTTTGATGTACTTGTACAGTTCTAGAATGCTGTATAAGTACGTGTATATTTGGGTTTTCTTTTGCTTTTTATCGTCATCTAACCCATACCTCGTCAAGAATAATATTGCCAGATAATAATTCAGAAAACGCTATGTAATTGTATATATCTAGCACGTATAAAATCAAGTAATAGATAATCTCGCTAGACATGACTAAGTAAGTAAGCATACTTTAGGTATATAGAGTGTAAAGAGTAATCTACCTTGTAACCCTCAAGCCTGAGGACATGTGTACTACCCAAGTAAGTCAACATAAAGGGGCATGTATCTGACTATTCAACGCCACCTCAATAGAATCACACAATTACTAAGTAGATGCTGAGCAACTCCTAATTATCTTTAGGTATCCCAGACCTTCAAGAGATATGTAGAATATCTTCCCCCACCTCGAATTCTCCCTGACCACCATGGCCCCAAGCGCAATCATCGAATCGGTAGTAGCCGTAACTCAAGCTGACACTCTAGGTCCTGATATATATCAGAATGCCCAGTATGTGCCTCCATATATACCTCAACCCTTGCTAAACAATACCCGGTAACCGGGCCATTATCCTCCCAACCATCCGGAAGAGCCGTATTCGGCGGCCTACTATCCGCCCAAGCAAAATCCGCAGCCAGCGCAACAGTCCCTCCCAATTTCCACACATACTCATCCCACTCCTCGTTCATCAAACCCGTCACCCTCAACGCCGGGGGTAGAGTCTTCTACCACGTCGAGCGCACCGCCGACGGACGCGCCTACACGACGCGCCTCGTGCACGCCACCCAGGGCGACAAAGACAATACCTGTGTTTACATAGCCGTCATCTCGTTCCAAAGCCGCGACAAGTCCCCGCATAACGCCTTGAACTACGGCACTCCGCTACCCGATCTGTCCGGCGTTAGTCCTGACGACATCCCGGAGGGTCTCAACCAGAAGATGCCAGCAGCCTCGGCAAGTCCAGACGGGCCCTTTAAACAACTCGATTCAGACGGTGAACCATTCGACTGGCGTCCACTCCGATTCGCACTAACAAACGAACCCTACACCTGCCGTTCCCACAGTTTTGCGCGTTCACTGCCCCTATCCACCACCTCCGCGGCAGTCAACCTCGCGGCGCTGGCGTACATGTCGGACCAAGTACTCTTCTCAATAGCCATCTATGCGAACCCGGACAAGGTAGGCGAGAGGGCGAAGAACGTAACGATGGGAGCTACTCTCAGCCACAACGTTTCGTTTCACGATCCGGCTGTCAAAGTGGACGAGTGGATGGTCGTCGAGCGCGAGACGTCCTGGGGTGGTGGTGGGAGGGTGCTTATCCATGAGCGCATTTGGGATTTGAAGAGCGGTTCTTTGGTCATGACGTGTATGCAAGAGGCGCTAATTCGCCTGAGGGATTCTAAGATTTGATTCATTATTTAAGATGGCTATGTCGCGGGGTTAATGGTGGCAAATAATGCGGCTTATGTATTTTAAATATTAGGAAACTTGAAAATGATGGTTTAAATCACTTTTTAAAAATTGTCAACGATAATAAGAGTAATTAATATCTCAAGTTAGCGAGATTAAATCTTAGAGCTTTCAAAAACTTTACATCGCACCATCTTGCTACCCCTTTATCTACATTCACTTTGTCATGTACGGATTATGAGCCGAACAGGAGTTTAACATCACGTTTTTTCTTAGAGGTTATTAATTAATCTTAGTATATCTCATCTTTATTAACACTAAACAACTCTAGTTCCTCTGGGGTCTAACTTCTACGCCACGTCGCTTCGTAATGAAGACTGGAATCGCCCGTAATTCCATTTCAATCCAACCCCCAATAAGGTATATCCAAGTCTAAATATCCTCCACAAGGATTTCTCAAAGGTATAGCTCATTACTGAGAGCTTAGTACCTCAATCTAAACTCTAAGGTCATACCTTCCCCCTTTCTTCTTCGGTATACTTAGAAGCTCATAAGATCTATCAACAAGTTAATAGAAACCCTTTATTAGGAGTTAGGGGGGGCGTGGGTAAAATAATTCCATACCTCGTCCAAATAGGCCGCGCTTCGCCCAGTCCATGGCCATCAGCACCCTCGTCCTCACGCCAACGCTCTGTGCGAAATATACACTACGCCAGGCGTATACGGCCCACAAACCACCGGTGACGCCCCAGCCACCTCCAAGGTCAAATACGGCACTGTTGCCAACGTAGGCTAAGCTACCGAGATGGTGATATTCGAATGCCTTATAGCAAGTCTCGTCGAGGTCGCCATCGAGGATGTCATTGACACGTAGACCGGGCGCAGCGTGCGCTAGCTTATTGAACTTATTCGCTAAATAGATACCCTGTTGGTTGGCGCGCTGCGCCGTCGCCGGCAACGATGTCAGCTTGCTGTCAATCTGTTTTAATAGTTCCCTCAGCTCTCCAAAATCTAGAGTCCCTGATTGGTCCTTGTCGAACTGAGAAAATAGCTTGTCCAATCGCTTTAGGTGCGCCGCTGCTTGCGGGAACCGCCGCTTGACATCGGATGCCACGGCGCGCCAGTCGCTAAAGTGGAGCTCCACGGTCTCGGGGTCTTTGCCCTGCTTGAAAGCATGTCCGCGTAGGAAGGTGATAACGTTGTTAGCAATATTATTCTGGACAGTTGAGCAGTCACCAATGGCGTAAACATCGCCTAGAGGAGTGCCGTTGAGTCTCAGGTGAGTATCAGTTTCGAGAGCATGGCGGTTGTTTTGTACGGGCCCTAATTTCGCCGCAATCCGCTGGCATAATTCGGATTGAGAGACGCCAGTCGACCATAGACAGAATCCCATCGGAAGTTCCTTAGTAATAATTGCGCCATCATCAGTCTTCTGTGTAAATATGATCTTATCCTTCTGCACCTCTTTTACCCTGGAATTAACAAGAACCTCGACCTGGTCGCGAGCGAATCGATCTTCGGCGTATTTAGATAGTGCTTCATCGTAAGTATTAAGAATATGGCCTCGGCTCTGTATTAGATGAACTGAGATTTCATTGCGCAACAGTCGAGGAAATCTCCTAGTCAAGTCCTCGTTCAACAGATCGAAGAGCTCAGCAGCAAATTCGACACCTGTAGGTCCGCCACCGCTAACCACGAATGATAATAATCTCTTGCGCTCATCGTCGGCTGTTGTTGGAAGGCAAGCAAGTTCTAAATTCTTCATTACTTGATTTCGGATCATGCGGGCGTCGTTAATGTCTTTAAGGAAAAAACAGTTATCAAGTCCCTTGACTCCGTGGGGGTTTGTTACGGATCCGACTGCGATGACTAGCTTGTCGTACGGTATATAGAACCTGACCTCCTCTCCCCTAGAGTCTGTCTGTGAAACTTCAACTAATTTGTGCGAAAACTCAACGTCCTCGGCTGAAGCTCGAAGGTAGTGCCCCCCGATTCTAGTAAGAATTCTGCGAATAGGCTCAACTAAACTGCGCATTTCCAAGGTACCGACGGTCGCGGATGGTAACATAGGAGTGAATAAAAAGTAGTTTTTAGGACTGATAACCGTAACATGGTAATCATCAGGATTAAGCTGCTTCAACAGCGCAACGCTTCCCCAACCACCACCTAAAATCACAAGGTGAGGTTTAGTCTTTCTCTTTCTTGCTTCTTCATTTTCGTCGTCATCGAGAAGCGCTTCTACGATGGGGAGGTTTTTAGGACCTCCTCGGCGCGGGGACAGTGCCGCCTCAGACACATGACAATCGCCAAACGTAACTGACGATTCTTTGTAGGTTGTCGAGTCGTATATAAAAAAGCCGGCAAGTAACGCTCCCACAAACCCAATTCCTGTACCAAGTATTGCAGCTGTACGATATGCGAAGTTGAGGATCACGGATCGTCTTTGTGGGAGGGGTTTCCCTGAAATTCCGCGCACAATGCGCCGTGATGGGAAGAGCAATTGAACTACTTTGGAGGGGTCATTTCGTTTCGGAGAATTCGGTCGGGATAGAATACTGAATTGGCAAACATGCGTAGGTCTTATTTGTCTTAGTAGAGGTGACGATGTGAGTCTATAGCTAGGAGAGCTCTGTCGACCAACGCGTAAAGCAAGAGCCCTGGCAGCTCCTAGCTGTGATGGCATCTTCGTAGCTTCTCCTCGCCAGTTCGGTTCGGGGTATACAAAAAGAAGAGACTATATGAAAGGAAACAACATGGCGAGTTAGTAGAATTAATAAATAATAAATTAGCGCTCGTGGTTATTAAGAAAAAAAAAGAGCTTAACTGAATAAACTCTCGGCCTCCCTGGATGAAGGAATGTCCCTCTATTTGTGTTACATAGAATAATTGTGTATGTAGTGCGTCATATCCGCTGGAGTGGAACTCCGATCGCCGTCACCAATGCTAGAGATAAGCGTGAAATTTCAAGCTTGGCTAGACCCGCATTGCATTAGCGAACACACCTATCAAAGCTTCATCCCGGCTCTTCCTTACCGTTTCTGATGTGACTTTTACCTAAAAGGGGCAAAATGAAGAACTGCTATAACGTCTTGTTGTTGATAAATATAAAGCATCAATAGATTTCAAGACTCTTACTATTGATATATGTATTTATTATAGTCATTCATTTCTATCTTCAACGGGACCTGTCGTAAGAGTATAAAAATTTAGGTCTTGTCGAATGTTCTACGAGATAGGGGTTCATTCTTAGAAAAATTGTGCAACGGAAAGTTATAGTAACTATTGGTCGATACCGAACTTACCTAACTCGTTTCGCTTATTCATATTCCTATAGGGCCGAAAACACCGCATCTCCGTTGAAGAGCACCGAGCATCGCCGAGAGTATTTGTGTTTTATTAAACCACTAGGGATTTTTCGTATTCATAAGCTATCGTATACAAATACGTAGCTGGCTCTAAATGCTAAAGTCCTTATAAGCCCACTTTTCTGTGAGCTTGGTCTTCGCCTGCTTCCTAAACGGTATTCTCCTTCTAGCCTCCACCTTTCCTCTCAGGAGTAAGCTCCGGTAACGGTCCTTTAATAAGTTGCCTTCGGGTCTCAGGCGGCGAAGGGAATCTTCTAATTCATCTGGTAAGACCAACTCGAGGTCTTTCTCTGGCAGCTTCAACCTGCCAAGTTGACGACGCCGGAGCTCCTCATCATTGTCATCAGCGCTGCTATCGCTCTGTTCAAGGTTTGCGAGTGCCAGATTTTGTTCGTGCTCACGTTCGGCAATCTCCTTTGCGATTCGTTTGATTTCTTCTAGCTGCGCTTTCCGGACTTTGGTCTTAGCTTCGTGCTTGAGTCGACGCTCTTCTTCCTTTCGTCTTTGAATTCTGTTCCGTTGGGCTGGGTTTTTGCGTCCCGGCCGTTTGGCGCTGACCTTAAGCTCCTCGCCACCACTCTGGAAGCCTTCCCATTCCGAGTCCTCGTCCCACTCAGATAATTCTGCTCGAGCTTCTGCAGCCTCCGCCTCCGCCGCTGACCTGGCGGTAGCTTCCGCTTTGAGACGAGCCGCCTCTTCGGCTTCTAGGCGCTTGCGCTCTGCTTCGACAGCTTTATTAGATTCTTCCTTATAACGGGCTTCGTAGTCAGCAAAGTCCGGGTTATAGCTGTATCCACCAGTAGGCTTCGGTACGGCCTTGGGTGTCTTTCCACTAGCTAGTAGCGAGATCGGTTTCTTAGATATGGATTTGGGTGCCTTTTTCTTATCGTTTCTGTTGTCTTCTATATCTGTTGGTGTTTCGGGTTTGGCTTCTACTGCCCATGGGTCGAAGGATGCATCCGCGACTTCTACCGTAGACTCATGAAAACCATCTGCAACTTTGCGCAATCGAGAAAGCTCTTTCTGCGTGACATATTCCCTCCGCGGCCTCTTGGATGGAATAATACCGTCTGTAGTCTTATCTCCTGGGCGCTTTCGCATTGAAACAGCGGGAATAACCGAGCGTGCGGCAATAATCTCGTCAGCCTTAAGAGGCTTCGAAGTATGCTTTGGGAATTTCTTTGGTAACGAGGCATCGCCTACTGTATCAAGAACGAAGAGCTCTTCGGAGGGTCGCTCAGCAATGACACCACTATGTTATCACGACGTCAGTTCAGAGAAGTAACTAAACGAGAGCAATTGTGCGAACCCTTTGATAATTTCCTCGTTTAACTCATCAAGACCTTTCTCAACCTCCGTAACATCGACATTCTTCCTCCATGCCTTCTTGCCTTTCCTCGAGGGTTGCTTATAAGTTGCAGGGGCCTCAGTCGACCCCTTCAATGGTTGTATGACCGGCATTTCTGCGATCTAAGGCAGTGATGAATTTGAAAAGGATTATGAATTGGAATTGTAGGTAATTGTATTACTGAGGGCTTCAGAAGCGGAATTCCTAGACTCCGTGGCGTTGGTGGGGCTATTGAAACTAGAAATTTTTACAGATGCAGGGTCGAGATTTAGTTGATGTTTGGTTGATATGATAAGATAAGAGAGTTGGCGTATTTACCTGGTACTCCACATATAATGATTAGGTAAACTCAAAGCAAGACCAATTGATTCGAGTCTTAACTGGGGTCGGAGTGTCGGCCATTTTTCTTTTAACCAATGGGGCATGCTATCGATTGCCAGCAACAGCTATTAACGCAGCCCCATATTCAGACCCCAGTCCTAAGTCCAATCCACCAATCTGTTAAGGCTGCAGAGCCCAAGCGCATTTTTCATATATGGGAAAAGGGACCGCCTCCTTTTGTATGTGAGGTGGGAAAGAACAACTCTTCAATAAATAGTTTTTTTTTCCCGACCGCTTCTTACAGCGCAACAATATACAGTAAATAATCCCACAGAGATACTTAATTTACTTTTCCCTCTTTTTTTCAGTCATAAGAAGAGTATCCTTGAGTTCCTACCGACCCGACTTCTAACTTGCAGCTTTCTTGCACGTAGCATCTTGTAGCTCCACGACTCTCAACTGATAAACTGGGTCGACTCTTTTTCGACAACTATTGATCATTACCACCAATAAACAACATAACGATAAATAGAAATTCGACGCGAACATGGCACAGACTGGAGGAGCAGGTGGTTACAACAACCCGTTGAAGAAATTCAAGTACTATTACCCATTGGCCTATATAGTCTAAGTCTCATCACTGACGTTTACTAGGTTGGTGTTTCTCGGTGAACAAAGCGGTACGCAGTCTACTCTCTAAGACGTCACGAGCTAGCGATAGCCCTCTATATAATCGATTGCGCTTCTGGATAGTAGCTAATAGCTTGTCGGCTTAGTCGGGAAAACATCCTTGATAACGCGGTTCATGTACGACTCCTTCGATAATATGTACCAAGCTACGATCGGTATCGACTTTCTGTCCAAGGTAGGCTAGGACCTTCAAGCATAAGCTGCGGAAGACGTAATCCAGACCGGCTAACGAGCAAGGGTTAGACAATGTACCTTGAGGATCGAACGGTGCGATTACAATTATGGGATACAGCAGGTCAAGAGCGATTCAGGAGTCTGATTCCCTCATACATCCGAGATTCGAGCGTTGCGGTAGTTGTCTACGATATTTCCAGTATGGACCGAAGCTTCTTTAATCCATAAGCTAGACTACAGGGAGACTAATATGGATGGGCAGATGCGAAGTCATTCCAAAATACTAAGAAATGGATCGATGACGTACGCGCGGAACGAGGTAACGATGTGATTATCGTGCTTGTAGGGAACAAGACGGACTTGAACGACAAGCGAGAAGTTACTACGGCGCAAGGTGAAGAAGAAGCCAAGAAGAACAACCTGATGTTCGTCGAGACGAGTGCGAAGCTCGGCCACAACGTAAAGAATCTATTCAGGAGGATAGCACAGGCTCTTCCCGGTATGGAGGGGACGGATGCTGCAGCACAAGCTTCATCACAGAGTAAGTCACACTTACGGTATATAAACCTAGAGAGGAATTATCAAGCTGACGCATTACAGTGATCGACGTAAAGACAAACCCACAAACCTCTCAGCAAGAAGGGTGTGCGTGCTAGTAACGTGCTCGTAGCAAAAGACAAGCGTCGGCATTGCAAGGGAAAAGACAGGGACAAGCAGGATATTTCCGTGCATAGCGAATGAATCAACAAGAGATGTTGTATAATACGAATCATCCTACGAAGCAAAGTAACGAGAAGAAGATCAGCAGAACCATTACCGGTATGACGTTTAGTATATGTAATCACCTTTTTCAGGTTTCAATATTTCAATTCAAGCGCCGTTAAAATGGTTTGAAGTAAGCTCTGTGCTTTATATACTTGTGCCACAGTAGATTTTTTTTTGTACTTGTAAACATCCATACGCCATCATGACTAGCTTTTTTATGTTCGTATAAGCAATACCAGAATATAGACCAGATTTTATAACATTTCCGGAATATCCGGCCTTTTAACCTGAACGTCGTATTTAACCTAACGTCTCTACATTGCCATCCGGCATGCCGAAGTATGCCTTTACAGGCTTCACTCCTTCTATATCCGTGCCCAACTGTGCTACCTGCGGGCCGTTCAGCCCGGAGAAAATGCCCACCTCGAGAACACCGAAGATCTTCTTGATCCGCGCCAGCAAAGCATCCGGCGTCCAGAGTCCCTTGGCAGGGTCCAACTTATCGGTCTCGCTATTCAGTAGCAGCGTCGGGAATGGTGCGTCGATGATGTGGTTGTGGTTATCCGTGATTGTGCGGATGAAGGTGGGGCCCGAAGTCCGAATCTTAGGATCGGTGCTGCCTAGACGCAATAGCTCGCGACGCACGTACTCGCCGCCCATGGGGGATACTTCAACAGGGATGTATGTCCAGTTAGTCAGGAGACGGTCGACCTTCTTGCGGCTGTCGGCGACGCAGATGAAAGATTTGGATAGGCGAGAAACAAGCTTCTCCTGGAAGTGACAGGCACCGCCGCCCTTGATGCAGTTAAGCTCGGCGTCGACCTCATCCGCACCGTCGAAGTAGATGTCGATGGGTTGGTGGTCTGCGGATCCGGGGTTGAAGCCTATTTCTAACAGTAGGTCCGGCACCTGCAGTACCGAGAGCCCCGAGTGGTGGATCAGCGCCGTCGAGCCCGATCCCGTCGGCACGAACTTCATCTTGCCGGTAACGGACGGCCCTAGCTCCGCGATGGCTTCCACCACATACGCCACCGTGCTACCACTCCCGATCCCGACGTAGGTAAAGTCCGAGCTGAAATGGTTGGCCACGGCCTGCCGGCACGCAGCCCTCTTAGCGGACTCGATGAGGTTGGTAGACATTGCTGCTGACGCTATTGTTCTCCGATTTCCTTTTGCCTTCGGAATGACAGTTGAGAAAGTGGCTGCTGGACGGATGAGCGATATATTACAATTCCCTCGATGTTGCGTATTCTGGCTAAGAGAGGCGGATACGGCGTTGGATACGAGAGCGGGATAGCCTCTAAATACCGCACGTGGATTCGTGAGATGGACTCGGGTAGATGCACTTGCGACAGCTCGCGGTAACAATGGACTCATGAAACCCCAGGTGAGATAAGGGATGAGAAAAAATTGTGAAAACTCACTCTAGACAAAGAATATGAGATTGTTGGTTTTCTTTCAATTGATTAATCGATAGCTAATTTTGAGTTTGTTTTATCCCTTAAGTTCAGATGAGTGAAATGTTTATTTGAGTTAAAGCTCGGAGCCCCACCGTCACGATACCTTCCGTGCTGCCCGTGGTGGTTAATGTGGTGGTCTGACAACTGCTGCCATGACGTGAGCATAGGCAGGGGTACATGGGGTACATACATACGTGGAACATCAAGGGACCTGCCCGATCTCCGGATCTCATAACTGCAAAAGCTGAGTCAGCCATGAGGCTCAACATACTTTAACGACCTGTGGCTTCTTCTTTAAACATGGGCATTTATGTACAAGACTGTTTTCACACCGTCTTCGTACAGTGTCGCTTATCTTAGATACCTAGGTACCTACATATTCTATGCTACGATGGAGGCATCAGAAGTACTCCCCTAAGTGATATAGACAAAACCAAAGAATACTAGGTAGCTATTTAATTTGTTCAGTTGTACAGGGCTATTGTGGAATGAATTATGAATTGAGAATGATGTTAAATTTGTAATTGCTCTCAAAATTTAAAGCATCTTACGCATGAGTCGCCGGACTCTCTTTGTCATTGTACCAGATCTTACACTGCCTTGATTCATACCACCACTCGAGCATCCCTTGCCAACCTAACTCGAGCCATTTATAGGGCTCCCTGTCTCTCGGAGGGAGTAGCTCGATCTTTGCTAGGTATGGGAACCTATGTTCTGTACTAGCAAACCCTGTATAGGCAAACCCTAGGTATAATGCAGGAGAATTTTCGACTTTCATAGTCGTGCAAAGACCATCCAGTCGAACCTCTCCAACGCAAGCCTGGCAATTATTAGCATAACGGATGAGAAGACCAGTTATTGATACATGAGCGTCATGTCTCTTTTGGCAAGGCGTGATTCCGATAACATCCTTCAAGGAAGCAGAACTGTATAAAATTGGCCCAGAAGTGTACGGACGTGGAGATATATGAGAAATAGAGGGCCCAGGCGTGTGGTCGGCGGGTGAAGTAGTAGCCAATTTCTTACTTCCCCATTCCGAATAATCCCAATATATTCGATCAGGGCCCCCTGATGCTACGAATACTCGTGACCAAACAGGCGGAGGTCGCCGGGGATTAAGATGAGGTCCCATTGTCACTACTCGACCCTTGTTTGTTTTGACCTGATGAAGGATTAGATGAGAGTGTAAACATGATAGATTCTCTTACCACAACGGCGCAGAATGCATTAAATATATCGGCGCGCCACCATATAGCGGTAATGGATTCGCCATCGTCGAAAGGTACGTATGTCCAAACAGCATTCCTCTGGCGACGGTCTATATGACGGTAGAAGGAGATATCTTCTTTATCTCTATGAGCATGAAAGAACAGCATACCACATTCCCAAGATAAGGAAAGCCCGGTAATTGCCTCATTGTTGCACTCGAATGAAGTCATTCGAAATGTGTTACGCTCCAGCATATCGCGCCTCTGTTGGGCAAGGCTATGGATATGAAGGAGCTGTATCTCGCGTGGTAGCATAAGAGTTGACCACAGAATGACTTTATCAAGTTCGGGTGTAGGGGAGATATTTATGCGTCGAATTTTACACCCCTTAATTCAACATTAGATTAATTTTACAGTTACAATCAAAGTAGAGTGGGAAGGCCTTACATCTGACTTGACTCTCAGAGTCCTATATGAGGCAATCGAGATAGTGTGCCACCATGTTGTAAGGTCCCCATTATCAGGTGCCAGTAGATTAATTGAGCTGTTCGGCGTGGAAAATATAATCTGCTTAATACCCAGGTGATCTTCTGATGTATAAACAGTATCAGCGAGGGAAGTTCCGTCTGTCTCAAAGATGCAAACATCCTTGCTACTATATGGTTTATTAGACAAGCTCACGATATATCGAACACCGTCTAAATAGTTGTATCGAGCCCATATGCTCGAGGTAGTGTCAATATCGTAGGCGTCAGGCGTACTGCCACTGCTAGCGCAATGATTTGCTATAATCGCGGACTCATGAACAATATATTCAGCAATCGTCAAGCATAATTCTATAGGTAATTGCTTGTATCGAGCGCGCAATATTTCTGCGAATAACCGCGGAATGACCTCTAATCGTCTACGGTCCTCTGATTCCATGGGTTCGAATGAGTACTGCATCACTTGAAGATATGACGCAGAAGGAGCCGATGCAAATCGCAGACAAGCCGAGTGACAGCCGATAAGAGTGTCCCCATGAGAACACACCAGACCTCTACAAGGACTTATGATATATCCTAAGCTGTTATCCCTGAAATCATTGGAGTAGATGTAAGGGAACTCAGAGCCGACATTGCCGGTTTCGGTGACTGGATACTTATATTAGACGAACTTCTTGATTACCTCGGTACTCTTTAGTACTTGCCTGCTTTGACATTTTCGCCCTCCAATATAGGAAACCGACAAAGTCGGCACCTAGGAGGAACACATTTATATTTGCTATCGTACATTTATTAAGTTGTTGCTGAATTGGCGAGTTCACTACCAAGACCAGGTTAGATAGCAGAACGTTAGGCACTTAACCGCTTCCAAGTTGAGTCAGGTTGGGTATGAGAGGTACTAGAGGGTACCCCAAAGGGCTGCCATAATAGCCCGAATTTACAAGGATTATACAGTTAAATATATTAAATATATTAAATATCCTGAAAACTCCTATCCAATATTCGGTAGCTAAAAAGAAGGCTCGTTACCCAGGAAAAAGGCCCAAAACCCTTACCTATAACACCCCGATACCCTTACCCACGACTTAACAGCCAAAAAGAAGATTCGGAAGCAAAAAGATACGTATTTTTTAAAAAAAAAGATAAAGATGTGGACTTAGAAAAATTCCACTTATTTTGGGGATACCAAATAAAAGTGCCTAAAAGTTGTGCATAAATGAACTTCTTGTCTCGTCAACCGGAATATCCCTCGTAAACTCGGGCACTTAGCTTATGTAAGCTGTGCTAGGTACCTCAGTACCATGTACGTAGCAAGCCTCAGCACCAGCCACATATCCGCCAAGTCATCAATGTGAAGTACCTAATCTTATTAATATTGCTTCATCTACAAGCCCAAATAGTACGTATCGGCTGTGTGACACCACAGAAGAATTCCATTCCACCTCATTTTTTATTACTAGCTTGATGACAAATATGCAATCTAGGCCGGGTCAAATTATTATATACCTAACTTATTGAACTTTGTAACATAAGCCAACCTAGTAAATGGAAGGCTGAGAACTATATATCTATTATGGGTTCAAATCTGCTGAGGCATTGGAAAATATTAAAAATAGGGGGGAATAAGAAAAGACTGGGAGTAAGAGGTAGGAGGTATTTTCTATGTAAACTAATATCTAAATACTGGTTTATGCAGAAGTACCTAAGCCAAATTGAACTATTAATACACGCACTTACGTATTTTACGGGTAATGCCTATATGGGCTAAAGTGCCTTTGCCTGTTAATTATAATTTCTAACGAATGACTACCTACCTATGTAAATGTGAAGGGTGTGAGTATACCCTGCAATTTTTCTAAATTGTCCGGTCTATGCTTAAATACCTCACACATGGACACAACACCTTACCGTGCATGTAACCTAGGCAAAATTGTAACATACAGCATCCATGTAACCAGAGCTTTTTATAAATAGATTGCATATCAAGAGCCGTTCCTAGGGGGGTTTACGAATATAAAGTTTGTTTTGATTCCACGGGAATTCAACTCATCAACCTTTTGCTTGAGAATTTCAGAATCGCGAAGTTTCATCTTTCCCCAGTAACGGATCTCTGCCTCTGATGCATAACCAATGGCAATTTGTTCCTTTAAGAATTGTCCAGCCAACTCGACCGTCTATAAGTGCACTATGAAAGGTAAGTTTCCAGAACCAAAACAGGGTTAGTATCAAGCTTACAATCCACCTTCTGTCATATCAACCAAGACTTCTGTGATGCCTTCTCTACTCATTTGGTCACGAGATAATGTAAGAATACCAAAGTCACACATGGTTTTATCCCGTAGTTCTTGTTCGTGGGAGCCCTCGAATAAAAGAAACTGCGACCCGGGAGACCATAGAAGGATGAAAATGACTTGTATATCGGGTCCACTGAAGAAGAAGTAGACTTGATCGGAAGGAAGTACATCGCCACGGTATATCTTAGCGAGCCCCCAGTGAGGTTGATTGACGCTCGACTCGACTACAGTCCGTATGTCCTGAAGCACACGAGACACTGTTACATACAGAGACTAGTTGGGCTGACCTTGTTAAGAAGGCTATTCTCGGCACAGAACTCTAAGCCTTCTGGGGATCTGAAAGGTAGCGTTTTCACGAAGCAGGCAACCCGATCTCCTGTTGATGCATCTTTCACGATATAAGCGCCGGTCTTTCTAATAGATTCTCTTGCGTCATGTGTAGAGAATGAGCACTGTGAAGCCATAGCCAATGTTCACGATGTTTAACCGTTAAAGAAGCAGAAATGTGACCCCTGTCTTTTTTCTTCTTGTTTTCTTCTTTCTTTTCTACGCGAAGTTCTAAGTTAAACCTTTACTTATTACGCTAAGGAACCTATTGCAAAAGTATGAGTATTATCTTAACAGTATCTCGGTACGTAGGTACATGTAGGTTATTGATTTACCCCTCATCGAGTACCTAGTCGATTTGTGGCT